AAAATGAATCATCGAAAGTTGACTAATATGTTCCTACGAAATTGTGAAGGAAAAACTAAATCAATTATAAAATGGTATCAATTATGTACAGGCATAATCCTAAAGAAAATATCAAAAAAGTTTATAATTGAAGCATATTAATTACAGAAAGATGATGATTTTCTTTTTAAAATATTTTGAACACTTTATTTTTAAAAGACAGGTGATTTTAAAATCTCTGCTAAATCCCATCCTATGAGAACTATAGATTACTCATAAGCTGGAGATTACTTGTCCGCTCTTGTACCGCCGATAATTCCGTGAAACTATCTTTGATATGCCTGAACTCAGGACACGACAGCGTTTCGCATCACTTTAATCTTTAATCCCCTTTAAGCCCAATGAATCGTGCGTTATCTGTCATCGGGCGACCTAATGAAAAGAGTTCACCCTCGCACATAATTCAGATCATTAGTCCTGGCCCGGCTTACTCACTTTCTCCCAATTCCAGTCCCAATTTCAATCCCAATCCCGATTCCCAACCTCACCAACCACATTGACCTTTTATGGCCGTGGGCTTGGCAAATCAGAATCACGTGACTTGCCCACTTTTATTGGCAATGCGTTTTATAACTAAGTGGGAGTGCCGCCGGCCTGCTTTCCATTGATAGAGGATAGAGGACAGAGGTTTGCAGGCGGGCATAAATCAGTTTTAATAGTGCAGCTGGAAAAGTCAAGTCGCCGGCTGTGTGTCTTTGCCGAAAGGAAGCCAAGAAATGGGATACGCATATGGGACTTCGCAGTCCGTTTAATGAGATTTTTCAGTCGGGGAAGCAACGAGCGAAACCAATTTTATTTGCCATTTCTGTCAACATTTCGCTTTAGCCGTTGTTTTGTTTCGCTGTTTTTTTTTTGTCTGGCAACATTTTTACTGTCGCATTACGTGCAACATTTGCCCGTTGATTGCTTGGGGTAGCTGCCCCTCAAACCCTTGGGTATTGCATAAATTTGTCTAGCTGTTGTTGCCGCGCTCTCTACAATTTATGCGCTTGTGGCGCCCCAAAATGTGTCGGTTCGCCTGCCGAAAATTTGCTAAAATACAACCTAAAATAGCAAGCAACCCCAGCCGAGTAAATCCGAACGCAAAAACTTTTGGCCATAAAGCACATGTGACTACGACTACCACATCAGCATCCACACGCCATCTCTCGTTGGTCTCATTGCGTATGAGTTTGGATATGGATATGTGTTTTCCAAAATGTATTTGTTTATTTTGCAGTTTTTGTTCCCGGCTTTCAGCTTTCCACATCCTGACAAAATCTTTCCCCATAAATCATCCCAAAGCTGCCTGGTGAAAATCGTCGCTGATAAGCGTACTGTTTTTCCGGCCGCTTCGGGCTTAGCATTATAAAAAATGCATAGTGTTTTTTCTTGGCTCCTTTGATAAATTAACCACAAAGGTTATCATGAAAACTCACATTATGCATTATACTTGGTGTATAAAAGGGCCTGTTGGTGAAATGTTAAATTCAAGCTTAGTTTGATGGATGTATCCCATAATTTCTCAAGACCGTAATAATGATGTTATGAACTGAAAGAATATTTTAACATACATTTTTTACCCACTCAAAAGAGCATTCACTGTTCTCCAAGTGCAGTCCCCGTTTCATTTCTTTGACTTCCTTTTTTATACATAATTAATTTATCACTTGGCTTTCATTTTTATCGCATCGAATGTCACAGGACCTTCATTTCCCGTTGTACCCCCTGGAGACCAGACCCCAAAAGTGACCCGTAATTGCTTTAAATGCCATTACGACACTTACGCACTGAAAGTCGGGAGTTTGGAGCTTGGAGTATGGCTATCCATATCCATGGTCCGTGTCTGGCTGTCAGCCAGAATCGCAGGGCCAAGGGCACAGAGGCAGTCTGTCTTTAATTTCCCTTGCCGCTGGCTGCGCCTGCAATTGTTTTCGCTTTAAATAATTAAATTAAAGTGGGCAGTCAACTGATTGAAGGAGTCGCTGCCTCGTCTGCCACTCGTTGCAATTGTTTTCGGCTGGGGAAATGAGCTGAGCTTCTCAGCTGAGGAGCTGCAGAGCTGAGCAAAAAGCGAGGCCAACGACCTCTAACCTGGTGCAATCAGCGTAATTAAGGCAGCAACGGCAATCGCCGTGGATGGCTTATAAATCATTTATTGCCAAGACATTATCGCCATCGACGGCTGGTACACGTATTCGTAAAGTAGAGGTAGTATACCCACTCCGCCCCCTTAGAATAACTCGTTTTGCGCAAATTATGCTATGGAACGCGTTAGTCTATGACAGATTGTATCTGCTAGATACAGAATACACAGCATACAGAATGTAGCCGACGTGCCGGCGCAGCTTTTATGCTGCACGTACCGCTCCCCTCTCCTTTTATGCTCCCAGTTTGGTGTCAATTTATGGCCAGGCTAAATTCTGCAAATAAGAGTCAGCAGCACCGACTTTGGAGCAGCTGGTTCGTTCCTTCGTTTGGCCAACATCTTGTGCAAATCTCATTTATTTGCGGCTTTGCCTCAGTCACATACGAGTTGGAGTATCTGCCGCCACATAGCATTACTTACGTGTCAATGTGCCTGGGCCTTGGCAAATGCACTTTTGATATATTGGCTCCGGGCTTATTGGTTTTCCATCTGGCGCACATCATCGCGTCGGTTGGATTAAATTGCAGGCGGGAAAGGGGCACTTTGATTTGCGGCCTCCTATAAATTTCATCGCGTTTGACATGACAATCGAGGGATGTCAACAGAGGACAGGCGCCAACTTACAAACAGCATGGTAATCGGATAGCCTTATGTAGATGATCTCTTTGGGGTATGCAAAACGGTCTAACAAAGCTTGCATTTAGCTTAGAGATTTACATAATTCAGTGTTGTTTTAACAATAGAATAAAACTAAAATAGATCTCCAGATAACCTTATATTCATATTTTTAAAGAATATTCGTAATATAATCATTATAATTAAAAATCTCTTTTAAGATTCTAGGTCCTATAATTAAAAAATCTTTGAAGTTACTAAAAAATTCAAAACTATACAATATTCAAAGACATGTTTTTCGAACATAAATCTACAACACCACCTTTTAGAGTATCCCCTCTTCGAACTGCTCCAATTTGACCACAAATCACTTCAAACTTGTTTCACAATTGTCGTTGGATAACGGCTAAATCGCCATAAAAGTGTATAATAGCCATATAGAGGGCTCATGCCTTGTATTACCATGATTGTGGTTTTGGCCGGGCTATGATCTCCGGTCGTCCTGCCAGCGGGTAAATAGTTTAAGGCAATCTCCAGACGGGATTTGTGGCCATTCCCAGTGGGCAGAAGGCAGAAGGCAGATTGCTATCTTGAGTACATAAGCGCATGTGCAGAGACATTCCTGCACATGACTCATAAATAATGTGCAATGGCATGGCCATGGTCGTCACCCAGACGTGACGACGCCTCCGGTTCCCCCGACGCCCTTGGCCACGAAACCATATTTTGAGGAAAAATAATTTTTGCCAAGTTAATTTGCCATTTCCGGCGACGGCTGCTGTCAGCTTCCGTTTTGGCAGAAGAATCCCCCCTTTTTGCACCTGAGCATGCTTAATTGAATTTCGCATTTGGCCGAAATTAACAGGCAGTGCGGAGAAGTGTTTGTTTATTTCGAGTGGCTTTCAGTTCTGAGTTGGCAGGGGTCAGCAGTTGGGAGATTGCGATTTCTGGGATTCTGTGCGTGCCAATGTCTGCGCACTTGAAATGGCTAATGGGGAAAGGGAGAGACATTCTGTGCCAGACTCAGACTCCCGGCCATAGCCATGCGTCTTCCAGTGGCGCACTAACCGTCAAAATGCGGCCCCGTTGCCATAAAATTGCCTGAATTTAGCGCTAGGTTGCCGCCGTTTCTCTAGCCCATCTCCAGTTGGCAGTGGTCCAGCCTTCTCTGGGATTCTCCATCCTCCATCCCATCTTTTCCATCGCCCATGTCAAGTGTCTTTGCTCTGGGCTTGTTAATCTACGAGTGGCTTCTTCTGCTTCAGCTTCTGCTGCTGCTTCTGCTTCCTGGTAGCTGCTGCTCCCCGGGCTTTGTTTTCATTACCGACCAAGTCCACATGGCGGCGGCCTATTAAATGCAAAAAGTGCAGACAGCCAGAAAGACAAACGGTCGCCTGCTCCTCTCTTGTGGCCACCACAGTCATGAGAATTAAATATGCAAGTTGCCGGAGGAGCTCCGCGTCGTCCAGTTCGGTTCTCAATGGCATGTGGCTGGGTTATTAAAGTTAATTACAATTTTTCATGGCATACGATAATTCAGCATGCTTTTTTTATGCCGTGTCCTTGCTCTGTGGCCATTTTTCCACTCTATTAATTTTTCGTTGATTTATTTGCGGCATCGCGTTGCTGTTGCCTCCTTTGTTTACATTTACACCGACTTTACGGACTGCAAAATCAGAGGCAGAGTAGCGATCGCCATGTGGGCTAAATTGAATCCGAATCGATGGGATGAGATGGAATGGGCTTGGCCATTTTCATCGGGGGAAAAATCCACAGCAGTCACGCAGCTGGGCGGGCATGCTGTTTCTATTAGATTACATGAAAAGCTCTTTGATTATCTGCTGATGATAGTGATCGATGCTGGATTTAAATGGCCAGAGATGAAAGCCGCCTCTGATCTCGGCGTGGATTATTGAAAACAGATTACTGGCTCTAGAATATAGCTGTGAACTTAAAGTTAAATCGCTATTAAGATGAAAGAATTATGTACAAGAGTTCTATAAAGATAGCCATTGTAAGATTAAACCAAGATTAAAGAAAAATGTCTAAAAGAATTTTCTGACATGTTACTATCCACCGTTTCACACGACTTCCTTTCAAACAAATTCTGTTCTGTTTATTTATGACATTTAAATGTAGCATTATTAAGATTAATTGTTGTAAAGGATTGTAATATTTTTTATACAAATTCTAATTTACATTTCCCTTCAATTTCCAGCTGAAAGCGACCTGCTCACCTTTGCACAGCGCAAACAGCACTTCGAGACGGACAAGTCATTCCAGCAGGAGCTCTTCACCGGCGACTCGCGACCCCTGAGTGTCCGCCAGCTGTACACGGAGGCCGGGAAGGAGCTGCCGGTGGCCGCCGGAGCCACGGCGGTGGCCCTCGCCTCCCTGGCCCACTCCCAGTCGCTGATCCCCTCCCGCTCCATCTCCTTCAACGGCGAGGTGCTGTCCAGCGATCACGAAGTCCTGCCTCTCAATGGATCCGCCGGCGCGGAGGAGCAATTGCTGTGCGTGTCGGAGTTTGGCAATGCCAACCGCAAGCTGCGCACGCGCATCGATGCCGAGATCGAGATCCGTTTGGTGAGTTAACTGGTTCCTGGTAACTATGTAACTGGTAACCGTTAGAGGCCAGTTTCCTGGTTGCAGGTAGTTATGTAGGCTCCATGCATAAATAATACGTTTTTGGTTGAACGGAACGGCCGCCCAAAACGACGACGACCTCATGTGTGTGGTCTCCCCATTCACCATCTGGTTTAACTCCGAAGGCTTATGCCAAAACCCCCTTTCGCCGGCCAACTGTCGTCCAACACGATGCTCCACATCCCAATCATTGTCATCTCTTTGCTCTTTGGTGCTGATGATGATGACGATGCACAGGAACGAGCAAACATGGACCACACACATCCACATCCATCGCCTATCTGCAGCTTTGCTAATGGCCAACGAGGAGCAGCTCATGGCATGACTCCATCAGCGGCGCAGCAAATCATTTCGAGTTAGTTGATTCGTTTTAATTGCCCAACTGGCGTCCCACGCCATTGTGGCTTTGCAAACTATGAGGCAGTCGGTCTGCATTTGGGTTGAATAAATCCATTGAGTCTTGACAGTTTTATTAGGGCGTCTTAATTAGACAGTTCTGTTGGGTTTCTCTAAGAATACGTTATTAGTTTGGCAAACAATCTTTGGTCTTTCATAACTATAAGTGAGTTTATAGATTGAAGTAGTCTCATAGCCATGCTGATCCTAGATTTCGAAATAACCCTTAAATCCAAGGCAGTACTTTTATATTGTCTCTTAAACTTAATCAGCCATTTAATTTTATTTTTCCCCACCAAGCGTTTAGAGCCGTTTAAATTGAAAAGAAGATTTAAGTATTACTTGGTGGAAAAACAGAGACTTTTTCTCATTTATTTGGCCTAGCACGTCGCAAATTCTTTGAGCTGATATCAGAAAATTGCAGTTAATTTGAGCTAACGCGCTCCGCAGTCATCCCATTTGGTCGCCATCGTAGCCATCTCCTTGCTTTTGGCCTTTGTCTTTGTCGTCGCCGTCGTCTCTTGTTTATCTTTTAGCCGGGCCATTAGATAAGCTGTGCAAAGACAAACAGCCAATGGCCAATATCCGCAGACGGGGATGCCAATGGCAACGAACAGCAAATCCAGTAACTACAGCAGCAAAATCGCCGAGACGACGACAACAACTGGGAACTGGGAACTGGGATCCCTGTTCAATAGGTTGCCAAACTTGTTTTGGCAAAAACAGCGCCGGTTGTCAATCGCAGTCGACTGTCGCCAACTCTCCTCCTGTTTTTTTCCTGCCTTGCCCCCTTTAGCTCCATTCTGTCGACTGCTTCTTAATAAAATGACTTTTAATCCTTTTCGCATTGCGTTTGACGTTAGTTGGCCTCAGTCTTCCACTCCGATGCACCTCGAAAAAAAGGTCCCAAAGAGGTTCCACTGAGAGATACCCTAAGAAATCCAGACAGGAGACGAAACAGGCTGGCCATTAGCGCTCTGCGGTTTATTGGTTACGGCAGCCAGTATCTCCAAGATGGCCCATTTGGGTGGCTGTCGTTGTTGTTGCCGTTGTGCCGTCTTGACGGCACTTAAATTGCATTATTATATACGGCTCGACATTTATGTGCAAATATTTTATCGTTAAAAGTTGGCCACATTTGCTCCGCTTCATCCATTGAGGGAAATGCCGCAGAATTTGGAAGAAAGGAGAAAGAGCCGAAAAGCCAGACTCATTGTCGGATTTACAGGCATTTCTTTATGGTCCGAACAGCCTCACTTTGGCCGTTTGGAAATCTAGCTCAAGTGTCTTTTTATGTAGATTTTCCATGTGGTGTGGGTGGGTGTTTCGTTGTTCCGGGGGTTGGAAAACTGCTGAGTTGGAGGCACAATGTAAGGCCCCCCATTCCCCAGTTATATTTCAATTGTTACAATTGATTCCGAGCAGTCGAATCGAAAATCAAATGAAACGATTGCGCTTTTTTCTTTATACGCGTAATTCACTTAAGACCAGCAGACAATTCGAAACTGGGGATTGTTTGTCCAAAGCACAGAGAAAAACAACCATTATAAATTGCCCTCCAATTTATTTATTTTCCCATTGATTTGTTTGTGAAATAAAATGTATTTTTAAAGGACAATTTAGAGAGTTAGAGGGAAGAAAGGGTTTTAAAATTGGGGATTTTTTTATGTGTATAATAGAAAACTGGAAAATAGCTGGGCGTCGATTTAAAACCACTTCCCCGAAAGTTCTGCGCTGTTCCCCTTTATTGTTTTTAATTAGGCTGATTGATTTTCGGTTTCGTAACGAACTGTAGGACGCGTGTAACATTTTTGGGAGATTTAAAAATCGCGTGACTTGTCCCAATTTGCGGAAAGCATAGAGAATGTTTGCGCAAACACGGCACAAAGTGGCAGCGTGCATTTCTCATAAAGGGATATTCGTGACAGGCTCTCCTGTGCGGCTAATTAAGGACCTGTCCGCCGGAACATGAAGGCTACACACACATACATACGTGGGACATAAAACAATATTTTTGCATGCCAAATGCTTAATTAAGGCGATGTTTTAACTCTTTTTTCCTGTTTATGTTTTTTTTTCTCACATTTCAGCCCGCTGCCATCGAGGATCTGCGGAAGTGGACATCCAGCGAGGCGCTGGGTGATGTCACCGTCACGCCGGATTGCATGCATCACGTGGACACCTCGGTGAGCACCTCGCTGGTCATCGGCGAGAACGGCATCCTGACCCCGGCCCTGTCTCCGTCCGTCCTCTCCGCCGATGCCGTCGACGCCCTCTACGCCCAGAACCTGAGCCAGGCGGCGGACAGCTCCCGGCACAACCACCACACGCAGGCCCTCATCCCGAACGATATCAATAAAGATGTGCCTTTGAACCATCGCTTGCCTTCCCCCGAGGAACAAACCAAACAGATTGCCTTAAAGTGAGTATTTCTAAATGGTTTCAATTAGAATTAGAACAACTTTTCTTAATATAATCTAGTTTGCTGTTATAAAAAATCTGAGAAAAAGTTTTTCCTTTAAAAATGTTTTAATTATTCAGTAATATTTTTACAATTTATTCTTTAAAATCCCCAAAAAGTGTAAACTTATTTATGATACGTTAAATCCCTAATTTTCAATCTCCTCTACTGTACTTAAAATAGTTTTAGAACAACTGTGCTAGGCTTACAGTTTTACACCCACTGTACCTTGCCTGGCTTTTTTCTCTCATTTTTAACACGATTTTAATGCGTTTTTTATGCAAATTTCGCGGCAACTATTGTTTGTTTTCTGTTTCATGACGCACAAAAAAGAATAGCTATTAAAAGCGTTGTTTGTTTCTGTCCAACATTTTTTCAACGTTCGATTGTCTGCGCTCGGAGCACGAGATGTTTGCTCAGCGAGCGCATCGGGCGCAAAATAAAAAATGCTTAAATAAATTAATTCAATTACGTATGAATATTTACAATGCGGCCACACAATTATGCAAGTGTCGCCGACCCCGCTTCCTCGCCCTGCCAATCCAATCCATTGGCCCATGGACACCACGCCCCGTCGTCTCTCCGATTCCGATATCCATTCGTATCCGTATCCACATAACAGCCATGGCTCATTTGCTCGGCTTTTTAAACTCCGAAATGGAGCAGCCACAGACGAGCCGTATTCACGCTCCACCGATTTGGAGCACGAAAAATGTGGTTGGCTGGCTGGTATTAAAGCGTAAACAAATTGTTGTTTGGATAACCACAAAAGTGCACTCCAAACTGCGCGAGGTTCCCCTTTCCACTCCCCCATCAGATCGATCAGTACTACACATCTGCAGGCACTTGGAAAAATATTTGCGTTTCATAACTTTAATTTTGGGAATATTATTTAATATTTTCACAATTTGAGATGTTATTTTATGGTGATGTAACTCTATTGAATATCATTTGCGTTGCAACTGAAAGATACATTTTCATGCATGATTAATGTCTTCTATTATTACCCTATCAATAAACAATAAACTTTAGTAATTTTTGTGTGGAAAATTATAACTACAAAGTATACGAACAGCTAAAATTAATTATCTTCAAACCAATATAACTCGATCTCTCTTGGTAGCAAAGGGATAGAAGTTCCACTGTGTGTAGTCTATTTAGGTCAGATCTTACCCAATAATCTCCTCTTTATACCCCTTTTCAAAGCATGATTAATTGTCTTACTAAACGATCTCTGTTTCTGAATTCTCCCGCCCTCGATAGATACCCCGCCGAAGTGATTTCGGTGAACACCAGCGGGAAGCACTTCCAGCGGATGTGTGCGGCGCGAAAGTCCACCAGCGGAGGATATGCGGCTGGAACCCCGGCAGGATCCTCGAGCAGCACATCGCCGAAGAACGCGGGTCCGGCGGAGGGCAACAACCTGGACGACAATGTGCAGACAGTCAGCCGAAGGTCGAGATCGCGGAAGGTGCGCGGCAAGCGGCGGAACACGATAGCCGGAATCGACCAGAAGGAGATCCAGGATGCGGCCAATGGGTATGTAACCGAAGCTATCTATCTGTCCATATATGTGATCCTATATAGAGGGGACACCTATTACTTCCCACTTTCCCACCTTCGTTCGCCTCTCGAACAACTGTACATAAGCCATACTAAACCTCGTATAAAACATGTGTACATACTCTATAAATCCTGGAAGAGATCCTTTAAGATCCTCCCCCCATTTACCCCGTATTATCCTATCCGACTTATTCTCAATTGCATTTTCCTATGAGATTATTGTGATCATCAGCCCAGTTAGCTGAACGATTTGTTATGCTGTTTAGTTTTCTTCGTTTGCCTAATTTCGTGTATTTTAATTGCGCCTTTTATTGTTTAAACAAATGCCTGGCCGACTGTACAAATCGGAGTTTTGCGCCATTAACTATTAGCGTATACATATATTGTTTGCCCAATTAGCAGCACAAATTGCATGCCACCAACCAACTGAATGTCTCTAAATTACAATAAAAACTAAAATTGAATGTTGTACAAAGAAAATTGTAAATAAATTGTGTTATTAGCTATACGTAATTAGAAACTCTAGCCAAAGAAAAATTCAAATTTCAGCCGCCTTTTGCTTGCGAAATTGAAACTAAAGCCGTTTTGGATGATTTTCAAAAGCGAATTTTGCGAAACAGCCTAACAAATTAAACGATTTTCAGCAGCCGCAAAATAATGAAAAATCTTAATACCATAACACACACACACACACGAAACACTCAGTCATACACCTCATGATCCATCCGAGACACCCACCCTTTCGCCGCCCCCGCATTGTTATCCTGGTCGCGAACCACCCACGCAGCTCGGCAACATTTGTTGCCAGCAACATTCGGCCGGAGGTTGTTGGCCAAGTCTGTCAGTTAAGTCAGTTCAGTTCAGTTCAGTTCAGGCGGCCCACTCTCGGCCTTTTCTGGTGCATCATCAGCATAAATCATGCGAGAGAGGGGCTGGCTATGTAGGATTTGCCTCTGCCTTTGCCTCTGCCAAAACCCAAAGGCAACACGAGCCCCACAGAAACAACAGAAAAAATAGTACCCAAAAGCAAGACCAACATTTGCCGCATTCGAGATGTTTTTTACTTGGACTCACTGCTTTTCCTGTGCTTTTCAAATGGCACACACGACGCCTTTTGCTAAAAGTTTCATAAATCTTATTTTGTTTTGTTGGCCCGACTTTCGGTTGGCGTCTGCCCACCACCAACAACAAGACTCCAACTTCAACTCCAACTCAGTCCCGAACTCGGCGACGGCGTCATTCCATTTGACTGCGTTCTACATATTCTACTACTTATATAGAGTGTGTGCAACTTGAGACCCCAACTCAGAAAACACATACATATATACGTACATACGTGTGCCCCATTATGTCAATGCTGTTCGATATCTGTGCGATCAGCAGTCGAAAATGCGGAGCACAGCGAAAACTTTGAGCCCGAGACAGTGGCTGTCAAACTGTAAGTGCATTTCGTGATTGTTTGCTTGTGAACAAACACAGAGAGAAATATAGTAGTTTTTTATGGGAAAATTCTCAAAAATAACTGCGAAATTTATTTCTCATCTTAAGTAGTTTTTTCTATCGGCAAATCTCATTCTAAGTTAAATATAAAATGAACATTAGTGCACAATAAATTTAATTTTCGTCAAGATTGACTTGATACTGTTAAACGGGTTTACTTATTAATGTTTAAGCAAACAAAACTTTTTTATAAAAACTAAAATTTTTCATGGGATTATTTTTCCAAGAAATCTAAATCCTGTTTCTTTCTGTTCTTTACTGAGATGCAGTGGAAATGTTTTAGCAATGACTGCACTTTGCGACCACCCCACCAGAAATCTCAAAAATCCCCCTGATTCAAGTTGTTTGCTGGCCCAGAATCGAAATGAGTCGTCTTCTTATCGCCAATATTGTGCCTCTTCACCTCCCAAACGATCCCAGCATGCCACACAGTTTTGTGGGGGAAGAATGTTGGAAGAGAATTTACCCACTCGAAAACTTAGATGTTGTAATCGCCTTTAATAGTCCCACTGAACTGAGCAGCCGAGTGGGGAAAATGAAAAATTTAAATGTATTTGGGAAAATTAAACTTTGAACTGCGCCATTAATTAATTTTCAGCCCGTTCTTGTTGTTGTTCTTGTTGTTTTTTCCCCCCAGGCACGTTGTGTATTTTGCATCTGTGTGTGCGTGCGTGAAATTAACCAGAAACATAAATTAAAAGCCAAATCAAAGTCAAAATGAAAATCATGTCTGAAAATTGCTCACAATAATAATCCCATGAGGAAGGCAAATACATCTACTGTACTACTCATACTCTCTCTCTGTCTCTATCACTTCACCCACTCCACCCCCTCTTCATCATGCCCACATGTCCATCCATCATTACCAAAAATGCTAACCGAATACCAAACATATTTTCTCTTTTATGTTCTCTCCTAAACACCAAATATTTTGCACACAAAAAAAAAACCACATATAATTCCACCATGTAAACAGCAATGGGGAGTCGAAGAATGCCTCGAATGCCACCTCTCCAGTGGCCCACCAGCCAGCTCATAACCAGGCGGAGTCCTCCTCCTCCTCGGAAGCCAAGAAGTCCAAGAAGTTCGGACGCAGCAAGTCGAGTGACATCTTAAAAAAGGAATCTGCTGCCTTGCCCTACGACAAGGGCAAGAGCACTTTGACCCGGCTGAACTCCCTGAAGCAGTGGGGTCGCAACCGCTTCAAGTTCATGCAGCGCACCGGCGAACTGGGCGACCAGTTGGACACCAGTGGCTGCAGCTCCCAGAACAGCTCGGCGGCCGAGAAGGCGGACGGCCATCATGGATCGCCGGCGGGCGAGAGCAGCAAGGATCAGCGGGACATCGACGACGAGTGCGTGGTGCATCATCTGGTGGCCCAGAAGAGTGAATCTCGGTTTTCGCACGAACGAAAGCCCTCGTATTCCTCCTCGGAGAAGAGCATGAGTGTGTCCAGCACGGGCCAGCTGAGGGGCAGACTCCAACTGACCTCCGGCTCCGGTTCCACTGTACCGCTGGCAGTGAAGATGCGGGAAACAGCCACCCTGAACCGCCAGCGACGGAACGGTCTGCATGCTCTGGCTGGCAAGGAGGAGCAGCCGCATTCCTCGAGCGGCAACTGGAGTGCCAGCTCGGAATCGGGACGCGCCTCCATTGGCAGCGAGATCACCATGCAGCCCAAGTCGAGTGCCTCGAGCACCTCGCTGAATGTGTCCAGTTTCCAGGCCGGCGGCGGCGGCGGAGGAGGAGGAGGTGTGGGCAGTGGACCGCCCTCGTCCATGCTGAGCAGGCGGCGCTTCCTGAACACCTCGGCCTCCAGCAGCGTGACCAGCGAGGGCACTGCCACGCCGGAGCTCCAAGCGGAGGCCGGAGCCTATCCAGGTCACCTGGACGATGAGACCAGTTCAGCCTACAGCTGCGACACCGAGGGCTACTACACCTCCTTCCACATGGACAGCGGATTGCGAACGCTCAAGGAGGAGGAGCCCTCGCCCATGCCGGGCACTCCTCTCCAGACGAGCCTGCACACGAGCAGCTACTCCTTTGGCAGCCAGTCCAACCAGACGGTGCTCAATGCGGAGAGCGAGTACGAGCTGTTTGGCAGGGGATCCACCTCCACGACTACCAGTTCCGCGGGCACCGTCTGCACTGCCCTGCTGAGTGGAGCCGCCTCTGGGCCGGATGTGCCCGAGCGGAGCAGCTCGCTGGGCAAGCACAGTGGGCAGAGCAGGAGCCAGAGCACCAGTGCCAGCAGCAGCACGCTGGAGAGGAGCTACAGCAGTAGCACCATCGGGAGTACTTTGGAGAGAACGGGCACCATCAAGAGGAATGTTAAAATGTCACCAACTAAAGGATCTGGAGGAGATCTGCTGGAAAAGGAGGGCCAGGATCAGCAGCAGCAGCTGGAGTTCTCGGAGAGCTCCGACCTGGAGGGTGTGGAGCGCATAGAGCGGATCAAGCAGAAGACGGCCATTAGTTCCAAAAGGATACCCTCCATGTGCATCATTACGCCCACCACCAGTGACGATGATGAGAATCAGACCACTGATCTGAATCGCACCCTTACTATAGAGGTGGAGGAGCAGGAGGATGATGAGGAGCCGGAGCAGAAGACGCCCACGAACAGCAAGGACCACAACCTGAACGAGCTTAAGCAGACGCCCACGAAGGCGCTAAGCGGGATGTTTGAGAAGCTAAGGGTGAAACTGGTTCCGGGCAAAAGCTCCCCGGCGAAGAACCAGAACCAAATCCAAGCGAAGCCCGCCAACGCGAGTGCCGTGAATGATGACGAGCTTTACGATTTGGCCGGCGAGTACGTCACCATAGCGGATATCAGCAACAACAATAACAACAAGCACAACAAGCCGAGCATGGGCATGGGTATCTACTATTCCAATGACATAGTTTCCAAGAGGGTTGAACCCTCATCGGAGTACGTTTCTCTGAACGAGCTGCCTCATCACTTGCGTCGGCATGCGGTCTCCTCGCGAGTTGTTCCTTCTGTTCAGGCGGAGAGCGAGTCCTGCGCACAACAACAGCTGCCCGCTGAGCCGGCAGCTGCTACTGCTGCATCCCAACCACCCCTTCAAAAATGCCAGGGTGAGGGGGTGCCCATGTACGCGGAAATCGGCGAACTGAGCGAAGAGAAGCCGCTCGCATCGGCGAGCCATCGGCTGAATCGACTGCGTCCGAATGCCGAGGGGAAACTGGTCTACGACTCCGACAGTCTGAAGCGGCGCAAGGGTGCACACACCACCTTCGCACCTGGGCCGTACGTGAAGGAAACCGAAAGTGCGCTCCACAGTGCAGAAAGTGCAGCGGCGGCAGCAGCATCAGCGGAGGTTATCACGGGATCAACAGGAGCAGCAGGAGTCACCACCAAGAGCGCCAAGCTTCTACTGCTCAGCGGAGGCGGACTAATTGCTGGCAATCGCAAGGTGGCCAATGTGAGGCCCATTGTGGCCAAATCCCCACTCAGCAGGAACACCAACGGAATGGCCACCTACCAGGCCAGCAGCTATCAGGAGCAGAAGCAACTCCTGGCCAACCGAACGAATCCCTTCTACGAAACCATAGCCACACCAGTGGCCAATTTGATGATGCCCTCTCCCTCGGGAAAATCCAATTCCTCAACGGGCTCCACAGCCACCAGTTCCTCCTCATCGGCATCGGGTCACTCCGGTGAAGAAGGTAAGCCAGAGCAGCTCCCGTCAGGCGTCAGCACACCTCCAATTGTATCCGTATCCCTATCCGCATCCGCATCCTGTATCCCTGTAAATAACACCGCCACCACTGAAACGTCTGCCAAGAGCACCCTTAATCAGCACAGCACAGCCAGCAAGTCAGTGGGTAGCATATCAAGTGTGAGGGATCAGAATCAGAATCAAAATCAGCCCCATCAGCATCCCCCACAGAACCCCAAAGATGGCGAGTCGAAAGTGAGGGTTGTTGAAATGGAAACTAACCCCCAGGGGCCACCCCTGCCGCCGAGGGCGAAAGTAAGAAGCGCCAAGCCCCCGACCCCCCTATCGATTGACCCAATTGCGCTGCACTTTGCCAGCAGTAATCCCGGCCAGCCGCGCTCCACCGCCCTCAAGCGAAACAACAGCTACCGGCTGGCCAACGATGAGCTCAAGCTGGAGATGAACAAGGAGAATCATCAGCAGCTCTCGGTGTCCTTCGGCTGCGAGAGAGCACCTAGTTCGGGTGCAATGCCCCTAAACGCAACAAGTTCCCTCCGGCTGCGCAACCTGGGCAACCACCTGCCCCCCATCCAAAACAGCCACTCACCTGGCGGGGAGCGGCGGATAGCCAAGTCCTTTGAGCGCCTGGTCGATGAGTTTTCGCTGTCGCTAACCACTGGCGATGATTCCTCGTATCTGAAGAACAAGTCGCTCGAGAACTTTGATGACTCACCCGCCCTGTTGTCCGTAGCTTCAGCGCCAGAACAAAGGCCAGACGAAAACGCCTCAGAATCGGAGGAATCCGAGGATGAGGATGGGGGTCTAGCCCCGCCCATGTCCCTGTCCCTGCCAGCCCAAAAGTACCACAAGTCCTTTGTGGACAGTGTGCTGCTGCGTCCGTTTAAAATTATCCTTCCCAGCGATGAGAACGGCAACCGTCGCCAGCGCATTTTGCAGAAATTCGAGGTTACCGAGATATGGTAGTTGGTAGTTAGTTGTTAGTCCCTTTTCCTTTTACCAGACTCTCGAGCAAACAGGGTAATTGCCGAGATTGGCACGGCTCAAAGGAGCCAGAGACCCTTGAGCCACCTAGTGTGTGGGCCTCATTAAAGTTGCATGCACTTGGCCAGAAGCGTACGTGTTCAATGGGCCAAGATGAGGGTCTATCCTATTCTATTCTATTCTGTCCTGTTCTGGGGTTCAATGTCCAATCCGTCCCACACACTTGATATGCCGCTCCCAGACGAGCTCCTATTTTATAAGTAAACTTACCCGCAATTTACCAAACCCAGCTGGCTTGCAAGACTAAATAACCCGACTCTGTTTATACAGTTCGCAAAATGTACTAAACTTATAGCGTTACTCACAAATTTTTAATTGCAATCAAACCGTTTGTTTAAACAAAGTATTAATACCTCTTGTTTTGTAATTTATTTACCCCGATTTCTGCTCGTTTTATCAGTTATGTGTGTGTTTTAGCCTTAGTTAATTGATAAATGTTAATTGTTTACCTATAAATACGTTTGTAACTAATTATAATTAACATAAACCAACACATGATTATTGTACATTTTGTAAAGTTTTTTGCACCGTTCACGTCTTGTACATCGACATACAATACTCAAACAATCGACTACCACAATTAGTGATTAAGTTTAGGTTCGTCCACGACTATGATGCTAATTTTTTGAGTTTTTCATTTTGAATTTTCTACTCATTTTCCAAAAATAATGACAGATTGTGAGGCGTGCAAAAGACTTCTACTGCTTTTTCCTAACCCAACTGCTTGTGTGTTTGTCTATGTTATAGAGTAGTAGTAGTTTTTTGCACACCCCTCCGACTAACGAAAGATCCACTAGCATGAGTAGCTTGAAAGATTAGCACATGGCCTAACCAGTTAAGTTCTCGGCTAAGTTCAACCACATTCCATACAAAAATCCAATTTACCACCGATCGTAAGTAATGTTTTCATAACCCACAAAAAGAAGAAGAGAATAAAACGAAAAGAAACGAAAATTCGGCATTGACATTATCATTGGCATTTGGTCTGCGGTAAAGGAATCCCCATAAACATATAGTCGAACCATTCCACATTCACATCTGCATCCCAGCACATTTGTAAATATTCGCTCAGCTCATTGGGATTGGGATCGGGATTCCCAGGTAATGTCATCCGAAAAGTGAAGGTACGTATGGAACCGCTTGCCCTGAACGCTTGATATTTTATTTGATTACCCTAACGATCCGCACTCGAAAACCGCTTACTAATCTCAAGAGGAATAGTGGTATAAAAGACTATAATTTAATCCTTGTTCGTATCTTTTTCCATTCCCAGGGTATCAACGTTTCTCTAATATCTATGAGCAAGTGCAGCCAGCACCGAGCACCCAGCCAAAGGAGGACGCAACTGCCACGCCCTTCCAGCGCAATGCGCCCATCTACTGGACGCTGCAGAGTCGCCGCAGCCAGCCAAGGCCACAGCCCACTGGGAATGTGACCTGTCGCGATGACCTCTATGCCACGCCCATTCGTCGGGCCGACCGACTGCCTCGCCCAGGGGCAGCAGCAACTGCAGCAGCAGCTGCAGCGGAAGGCAACAACAGGAGCAACATATCGCCAATTGTGCCAAGGAATCGAGCAGGAGCCTTCCTCACCTCCACGCCCACCAGGGGCGGTGGGGAGGGGGAGCGGGAGGCGGAGAACAGCCCAGTTCCTCCCATGAAGCAGCCATCCCGCAACTGGACCGACGATGCCCCCGAACGGCTCAACACCTGTGCCGATCGCATTGGCCAGAGCAAGACCACGCTGATGGACTTCAAGAAGCTGCTGCTGGCCAAGTCAGCCAAGGCGAGTCCTGTCCAGCGCAAGGTATCCGCCGTGGAGCTGCTGAAGAAGTCCACGCCGGCAAACCCAACCCCACCAGCTGCGAAGACCCCTATATCGGGACAGAAAGTAGCGTCGGCTGGAAGCAAACCCACCATAAACACCAGCCTCAAGCTGCTCGATCTGAGTGGCTCGCCCAAGACGTTCGCCAACCGGCGGATGCTGCGCCAGGGTCAGTTTGGATCGCCCTCCAAGACGTTTGCCCCAAAGATGCGGGGTCCCGTGAACATGGTGGCTGCCGCAGCAGCACCACCAAGAACGGACATCATGTCGACCACGATTCTGGAGGCGAATAGCGAGGAGGATCACTCTAATACCAGCGGAGGATCAAGGGCAAGCTCAGAGGCTGGAGAGACCCAACCCTCCAGCTTCGACCTGAAGCGGAACTTCTTCCTGCAGACCGAGGAGAACAACTTCATGCGCGGGGAGCTGAAGCCCAGCTTTGCCAGGACAAATGGAACAGCAGCAGCAGCAGCAGGAGGAGCTGGAGGAGCAGGCAGCGCCGAAGGCAACAAGTACGTGGCAGCTCCGGTGGCGAATCCTTCGCTGCCCTCGTTCGAAACGGCGTTGTAGAGAGTGGGTCTAACCCACTGCTGTAGCCAGCGAAAGTACATATATTCCATAAGAAACGGATCCCATAATCAGATGAGCAATTCCCTTCCGTAGCCAAGCCGAAACTGCATTTATTGACGGACGGAAACGAGTCAGAAGCGATGCTACTTTATGCAACATATACATATATCACTATATATATACACACAACACATTTATACAATAAACTGTATTTTTTAAATTGTGCTGCTTGTATAAACGAGGATGTTTTATACACGAAAATACGAATCGTCGTTACACCTACAATATATTTATTTGTAATTTTACGTTATTTATTGCAATTATGTATTACGCTACACGCATTGCTCTTTGTTTTGTAGTACAACACTTGTACGCCTACGAACTGATGAGAATCGCTTATAAATTAAACACATTGGATAACTCACTTGGAAACACTTGGCAGTTCTTTTTTAGGAGGGTGTGTTGGGTCTCTATGATAATCTAGATATGGAAAGCAATTATAGGATTATAACGAATTCTGTGATAAATACTTTTATATTTTTAGTGGGAATGTATATTTAGAGGTTTCTAAAACTAAAATATTTGGAATAATAGCTAAAGTGGAAAGATTTCAACACAATTTGATGCCGAATTGACAGGAATATCAAATTATAAATAGAGAAGCTTAAACTAATATCGAAATTAGACTATCATACAACAAATGATAGTAATTACATTCATCCCGAAATGTAATGCATTGCTTAATTACCTTTCTTACTAAATCCAACTACGTCCCACGCTGCCCGACCTGCGTTTGGTAGACTTATCGCCCAGGGAACTGGCTGCCTGATCCTTGCGTCCCATCACCGGCGAGCTTCCAGAACCGATGTTCCGGATGAGCTGCTTGAGACTCCGGGCTTGGGCATCGCTGGCCTGGCTCACGCTATTCGCCTCGGAGGCAATGATGCAGAAGTCGTCGACAATGTGGCCAGGTGGACTGATATCGAAGGGCAGGATGTCGCTGAGGCTCTGCTGCTGGCGATAAACGCTGCGTCGCCGGGCGCCACCATCGCCAATGGATCCTCCGCTGGTTCCGGCAGCGGAACTTCCCTGCTGCTGTTGGGTCATCTGATGCAGCTCCTGCTGCAGGTTGAGCAGGCGGGTGCGCAGTCCCGCGTTGTCCTCGCTGAGGCGCTGCATGTGGGCCGCCTCCTGCTCCGCCCGCACAAACGTGGGCTGCGGTAGACACTGATAGACGGTGGTCAGGAAGTTTCGCAGCGACAGGAGCAAGGTATCCTGCCACTGCTTGGTGAAGAACAGGGCGAAGCTGGGCGACTCCTCGGCGTTCTTGCAGAAGGGGAAATCTGCAACAGAATAGGGATCATTAGGAGACTATTAACCACTAAAATCCCTAGTTTCAACTTACAAAACCAATCCTTCCACTCGCTCTGCTGCTGCAGATCGCCTGCCAACTTATTGAAGAATTCCGACACCTTTTCGGGACGATTGCTGGTATAGGCGGTCACTAAATAATATTTCAGGAGGCTGTTTTCCAGTTTCTTGACCGCTGGAGGGGATTAGTCAATGATGTGTCATGGGAATCATACTGTGGGTGCTTGGAAAATGGAACTCACCCACGGCGTATGTGTGCTCCAGCTTGGAGAATATATTGTTGTCCAGGTGGAACCACAAGGTCCTTAAAGCCTGAAGATCGGAAGTTTGCACAGCATTATTAAATTGCTCCAGAATCCTCTCCGCCCGAAAATTTTGGTCCTTTTCCGTGCGCTGCTCCAAGTCGAGGGCCTTCAGGGTGCCCGAGAAGCCACGGAAAACTAAATATTCCCTTAGCAGGTTGTCCAGAAAAGCGACTTGTGCCATTTTCTTGTATTTTTAAAGGGCTTTTAATAGTTTCTTAAATTTCCTGTAATTTTTGTTATAAATTTTGGTGGAAGAAGAAGACAAACAGCTGGTAGCACAGAGTTGCCAGATTGTTCAATAAGCTTGACTGCGCTGTTTCGATTGTATCGTATAGCCGGAGACTTCTGTGCCATCTCTCCATCTCGCACATGTTGTAAACATAAATATAGAATAATGCACAAACGAAGAACCCCCAAGTCCATAAATAAACCACCGCCAATTCAGGGACCTGCCAAGAAGCCTCCAGCGGCGGAGGAACCTCCCATCGCCGAGGACATCGTCACCCAGTTCGAGGTGGAGCTCTGCTGGTGTGTGCAGCAGTTGCAGAATGCCCTCGACAGCGGAAAACTGAGCCAGAAAGTGGCCGAGGATACCGCCAAGAATATAAAGGTCCTGAAAAGCTCAACGGCCCCGCTGATCAAGAAGCGCCAGGTGATGAAGCTGTCCCTGGGCGACTACCGACTGAAGATGCAACAGGAGGAGCAGAAATTGCTGCTGGCCTCCAAGCAAATCAAGTTTACTACCACCAGTGACACCACCAAAAAGTCCAGCTTCGTAAAGAAGTCTGCTCTTTTGACCTCCGGAAAGGATTTCCGCTTTGACTTTCCCTTGCCTGCCGAAGACTCCAATGCCAAGGAATCCGAGGCAGCTCCACCCAAGGTGCTAGCCAATTTCCAGGAGAGTTCCGGAAGCCCCTTTAAGTTCAACTTTTCTATCGAGGATGATTCCACCAATAATATAAACTTTAGCGGCTTGAACTTGAATAATTAGTTACCGATGTTGCCTGCTTAATTTTCTACTTCCTTTACAAATAAAAGGTTTATTATAAAAAAAAACTTTTATAAAGAATTATTTTTCGATTGACCAATTCAGAAAGTTTAAAAAGAAAACAAAACACTAAACAAAAAATTCCTAATGAAAAATTGTATTTATTAAGTTATAATTAGATTTAGGCAAAACTTAATTGAGGTTAAAAAATTTAAACCAATCAAATTTGGCTTTAAATCATATTTAAAAAAAACGATTTCACCTAAAATCTGATGTCTAGTGGGCATTAACTTATCCCGGATAGTGTTTGTGGCTTTTATTTATAGCTCTGCAGAGAGCACTTCCATGCTATATAGACGTTCGTTGATCATGTCGGAAGACGACGGATAGCTTGGGAATCGCTCAGTCCGCTCCCGAACGCCAAATGGCCAACAACGCCCGCATCGAACACACGTCCTCCGAGGGACACGAAGGGGATGCCACCTGCGTGGCGTATTTCGATGGGCAGCTGTTCTCCGGAGGAGCCGATGGTAAAATCCGAGTGGGTATCTAACGGTTTCCTTTAAACCCACGCATTGCTAACCCACTGCCCTGCAGATCTGGTCACCGGAACTCCAACTATTAACCACTGTGAACGCTCACGAGGCCTACATATATTGCATGGCCATCAACCAGCACGGAAAAGTTTACTCGAGCAGTTGCGATGGCCAGGTGCACTTTATGCTGCCTCCCTATGGAGACGAAGCGGTGCAGGAGCTCTTTCGCTGCGACGATGCCATTCAGGCCATGTATTGCGATGGTACCGTGCTCTATACCGGCGATGACAAGGGCGTGGTGACCACTTGGACCAACGATCGCATGCTCTTCAAGTACAATTTAGTCGAGGAGGTCAAGTCGCTGGCCGGCGAGCAAAATCTCATCTACACAGTTCGCGACCTGGACGTGGTGGTTTCCCAGGTGGCGGAGGGCAAGTCCGGGAAGTACAGCAACAAGGCGGTGATAGCCGGCAAGTCGCCATTGCGTCTTCTTGGTCCCTTGGTGGATGGAAAGCGCAGCTACCTCGCCTTTCCCGATCGATCGGGAATGGGTCTTCAGCTGGTCAACAACCTTCCGCAGCAAAAGTATAGCCAACTTTGGCACATGCCGGTGATTATTCTTCATAATCTAAACTGATATATTTATAAGGAATTTATACCTTTCTTAGGACTGCCACGAGTGGATTGTAACCGCTATTTGCGGCGATGAAACCCATTTGTATTCCGGCGGCTATGACAAAAAGGTTAAGGCTTGGACCGATCTGGGATCCGTGATTCCAAAATCCCTGGGCGAGGTGGAGGTGGGCAGCTGGGTGAATAGCTTATGCTGTGGCGACAATGGGTTAGTTTACATAGCCAGCAGCGATGGACTAATACGCAGTGCAAAGTTTGTATAACTCTGGGGTCATCTTATCAGTTAACAAATTAAACATAATTTATTAAAGACCAGAATAAAACTTTACAAACTGGCCTTGCACTCCTGGCTGTGCTCCAGGCTATCGAATCCCACCTGTGCTTCGATCCAGCGAGCCACGGTGAGCAGCAACTGCTCGTTTAGGCTGTTGCTCATCAGCTGAAGGCTCAAGGGCAATCCTGCCCGGGACAGACGAATGGGTATGGAAACGGCGGGAATTCCAGCCATATTGGCTGGCTGAGTGCAAAAGTCCTGCACGGCACACTGATCCCGGTTCGTCAGGGAGGCGAAATCCTTGTACAGTGGAGCCTCTGTGAGAGTTGTCGGTGTGAGCAGGATATCTACGCGTTCCTCTTTGTCTGAGGACTCAAAGACTTTAACAAAGTCCTCGGCAATAAGGCGACGCACCCGCAATGCCTTCTCAAAGTAGTGGTCGTAGTTCTTTCTCAGCAGCAGGAAGTTTCCCGTAAGGATGCGTGTCTTCACCACCTCGTTGAATCCCTCGGCGCGGGAAAGGGCGTACAATTGCTCTGTACTTCGCTCATCGGCGGCTCGATGACCGTACTCAATGCCATCGTAACGGGCCATGTTGCTGGCCACCTCGCACTGATTGAGGATGGAGTACACGAATATACTTGCTGCCGTATTTGGCAAGGAAACCTGTCGCACTGAGGCACCGCTGCACTCCAGGAGATCGGCCACCTTGGACCACGTTTCTAGAACCTCGGCGGAGAGCCCCTCGCAATGGTATTCCTTTGGTATCCCTATGCGCACAGTGCTCAGGTCAATTTGCCCGATTTCCGGCAGTTTCAGCCTAGTAAAAGGCTGTCTGATGGTTGTGGAGTCCTGATGATCTGGTCCAGCCACGGCATTCAGCACCGCCAAACAGTCAGCGACGGAGCGTCCAAAAATGCCAGGCACGTCCATGGAGTTGACCAGCGGGATGAGCCCGTGGCGGGAGACCAGGCCGTAGGTCGGTTTCAAGCCCACCACGCCGCAGTAGGAGGCGGGATTGCGTGTGGAACCACCTGTGTCCGAGCCAATTGCACTGAAAGGTGAATAAATAAAGTAATCATTAAGATTAAGTGGAAGAAAATATGTTAATTACTAGCCAATTTGGTTAGAAAGTTTTCAAAATTCAGAAAGCGTTTTGAAATTCAAATTTTGAATACCGGAAAAGATGGCTCGAGAGTTCAAAAGAAGATTCAAAAGAGAGTTTTAAAAATATAACAAATTTTTTAATTTCCCATACCCCAAAAAACCACGTTCATAAATATACCCAACTTATTTTCAAATTCAAATGAGAGCGGTTCACGAAAAAATACCAACAAAAATACCGCATCGAGTGGGCATCCCCCTCGGCCAGCTGACAGAGTGCGACGAACGTTCACACTGCGCAGCTGTCAGAAGTCGAGCGATCAAGGGAAAACTCGATTATTTACCAAATTTGCGACCGAAATTGCTGCCCCGAAGCGATGTCTGCGCTCTTTCGACTGACCGGCCGCGCCGTGGCGCTGCAGCGTTCCCTGGTGGCCCAGCAGGCGGCGGTGGTGCGCGCCATCAAGACGTCCCCGAAGAAGGATGAAACGATTGCGGCCCCCACATCGGTGACCACCGAGGACTTTGCCAATCCCAGTCCCAAGAACTGGCAGAGCTACGGATTCGACTACAAGGACCAGGTGGAGGACCGCAAGGCCACCAAGTCGACGTTCTTTGTCACCGTGACCCTGTGCCTGGTGTGGGGCACCTTCTACTGGGCCTACCTGCCCGACACCCAGTTCCGCGATTGGGCCCAGCGCGAGGGCTTCCTGGAGCTGCGCCGCCGCGAGCAGGCCGGCGTGGATTTGGTCAGCCCCAACTACGTGGACCCCGCCAACATTACGCTGCCCTCGGACGAGGATCTGGCTGACACGGAGATCATCATCTAAACATTTAGTGCCCCTATCCTTAGTGTGTTATGTAATGCGAATGCGAAGGGCGGCCAGTGCCAATCCGCATCGTTGCCCGCTAATAAAACTGCAAGTCTCGGCGTGGACAATGTTGGCTATTGGTCCTCTGGTGGCTAGTTTTCGTTAAATATGCTGCTTTTTCTCCCGCCCGCCTTTGAGGTTAGGTGGTCAAAACATAAACAAGTGAGTACTCACGCATAGCAGAGACCAGCGGCCACGGCGGATGCAGAGCCTCCGGAACTGCCGCCCGCAATGCGCCAGTTGTCCTGGTCGAGGTCCTCGCTCCAGATGTTCTTGGTGGGTCCATACAAAGAGTCCACAGTGCCGGCGCCCATGGCAAACTGATCCATGTTGGTCTTGCCCAGGATTACAGCGCCCGCTTTTTTGAGTCTGGAGCACACAGTGGCATCGTAGGGCGGCACAAAGTCCTGCAGCATGCTGGTATAAAGGAAATATACTTAATTTTTAGAACTGTTCAATATTCTTGATTTCCTACCGCGAGGCACAGGTGGTGTGGACATCTTTGGTGCAAAAGTTATCCTTGATGGCAATGGTTACTCCATCGAGATCTCCCTTTGGCTGCCCTCGCTGATAGCGCTCCTCCGAGTCCTGGGCCTGTTGGATAGCCTGTTCCGGTGTGAGGCGCACGAAGGCGTTCAGGGTCTTCAATCGGAGGCCATCTTCAAGAGCCTGCTCAGTAACCCGGCGAGGAGACAACTGGCCATCTGCATAACTGGCCGTTAGCTGGTAAATAGTCTGGTTAACAAGTTGTTTGGCTAGATGATGAATTAACTCACCTGCTTTATGCTCCAATGCAAGTGACGCCGCATTTTTTTGGGCTAAGAAATAATGGGCTACGAATTAATTCACCCAATTCTTGAGAAGCTATCGTCGGAAGAAATCATAACAAATAAATTCAAGTTGCAAGAGTGGTATCTTTATCTGGTATTTTTTTGATTTTGTTACTGGATATACGGTCACACTAAAAGCTCAGGGGCGTTACATTGGGGATTTCAAAAAAATAAGGTTACTTATCTTAAAATTGAGAATTATTCCTTGACTTAAATCACCAAAATAATTACTTATTTATTTGAAAAAAATAAAAACTATTCCTCTAGAATCCCCCACAAAACAACTTATACCAACTACGCCCCTGTACCGGCAGCTGTTATTGATTAGAGCAGCGATAAAATCCAGCCAACGCAATTATTGACAACAAGACAAGCTCGAGGGGCTGTTTAAGATTATCTAACATCACTCAATCGGTTGAAATCATCTGAAGGGTCTGTAAAGTCAAAGGCTTCGCGAGAACCTCATAGAAATTCCAGAAACATGGCCAAGCTGGACGAACGCATCGGCTTCATTGGGGGCGGCAACATGGCCTTTGCCATTGGATCCGGACTGGTGCGCTGCGGGATCGTGAAGGCCAGCCAGGTGCTGGTCTCGGGTCCCCACATCGAGAACCTGCAGCGCTGGCGCGACCTGGGAGCTGTGACCAGCGACGACAACTGCGAGGTGCTGGAGCACACGGACATTGTCTTCATCTGCGTCAAGCCGCACATGCTGGCACCCTGCGCCGAGCAGCTCAAATACAAGCACGTTCCCTCGGCCAAGGACGCCAGCAAGCTGATTGTCTCGGTTCTGGCGGGCACCAGCGTTCAAACGCTGGAGGAGGCCTTCAGCTTCATGGGCAGCTCCGACCTGAAGGTGATCCGCACCATGCCCAACACCTCCATGCAGGTGGGCGAGGGCTGCACCGTGTACACGGGCAACGCTCGCGTCTCGCATCACGACCTGGAGAAGATACACTTGATGCTCAACGCTCTGGGATTGGCTCAGCAGGTGCCGGAGACCATGATCGATGCCGTCACTGGAGTGGCAGGCTGCGGTCCCGCCTTTGTCTACACTATTATAGAGGCTCTGGCCGATGGCGGAGTCAAGCAGGGCGTTCCGCGCCAGATGGCCATTCAGTTTGCGGCCCAAACTCTGCTGGGAGCGGCCAAGACGGTGCTCCTCACCGGCAAACATCCGGCGGTGCTGCGGGATGAGGTTTGCTCCCCCGGCGGTTCCACCATAGTGGGAGTCCACGAGCTGGAAAAGGGAAACCTCAGGTGGGTTGAGCTTAGATCGTCTTGTAGGATATTTTCATGACTTCCTTTCTTTCAGGGCCACTTTGATAAACGCCGTGGAGAAGTCTTCGCAGCGCTCCGCTGAACTGGGAAAGAAGAAGTGAGTCTGCAGCTACTCCCGATCCTCCATTTGCTCTCTACTTATAAAGTGAAACGCGTGGTATTGATATTACAATAATAATGACTAACATAAAGTTTATTCGCGATCCTTCTTGCTGACGTACTCCACGCACTTGGAGGGATCGGTGGGGAAGTACTCCTGGCACTTGGTCATCAGCCGCTTGAGGCCCTGGATGTACTTGCGCTGCGTCTCGTCGTTCATCACGTGGGCCACGTTCTTGGAGAAGATCTTTTCGCGTCCCGTACGGGCGTGAATGCCCACCATGGTGACACCAATGGGCCACGGGGCATTGCCGATGGCCATCTCCAGGTAGGCATCGCTGGCGGTGATGTAGTTGCGGTTCAGCAGGTGCTTGCAAATGTCCCGCAGACTGTCCAGAATGTCCTCGGGCAGCGTGTGATGCTTGAGTTTGCGGAACAGCGGCTTCACGTACTCCTTGGTCTGCGTGTAAATAACCCGCGTCATCTTCACCTTGGTGGACATCTTCTCGTGCTTGCTGTAGTTGGCTATCTGGTCGTTCCACAGCTTGAGCAGGAAGGTGAGCAGCGTGATGATCACGTCCATGTCGTAGTCCTTGTTGCGGCCCATCTTCTGGGCCATGGTCTGTATGCTCTCCCACGACACGGTCTCGTCCAGCTCGGCAAAGTCGGACTTCTTGTCCTCCTTGGCGGTGGGTGCGTTGGCGAACATCTCCTGCAGGTAGGCGGCGTCCACCTGCTCCATGGCCTCCTGGAAGTCGTTGCGGAATCCGCGATTCGCCTCGGGCTGCGAGATCTCGCACTGCCGCAGCCTGTCGAAGGCCTCGGGCTCCGTTTCGCCGAATATGAGGATGGGTTCTCCGCGCTCCCGCAGCCGCCGGATGACCTCTGCCCGGGGCAGGATGTTCTGGCCGTCGGCCACGAAACTGTAGGCTCCCTCGGTGGTCTGTCCCTGGGCCTCCACGGACTCCTGCTTCTTGTAGCCCACCTTCTGCAGCACCTCCTCCGTGTCCTTGGCGTTCAGGTCGCCGCGCCTGAAGTACTTCTTCTTGTCGTCCACCAGCTGCTTCTGCTCGAGGAGCTTTCGTTTCCGAGCTATTTCTGCCTTTAGGATGTCCATTTCGAGGGAGTTTGTCAATAACAATGTGGTGAAAAGGTAAACAAAACAAATGCGAACAAATAAAGTGTGACCAGGTTGGGGAAAATACTAAGCCAGGACTTATAATCGCGGTCACAAAAATAGCAAGCTCCCTCGAAGAATAAATTATTAAATGTATTTTTTTTTTATATTTAAAATGTAATTAAATGTAGACAAAACAGCTAATAATGGTAAGAAAGAAGTAAAAAAATGTGTTCATAATAAGGCACAAAAGAAGAACTACCAAGTCTAACAAAAAATAGTTTCAAAACTGCTTTAAAACCGAATTTTATTGTTACATATAGTAATTTATTCCAAAAACAAAGAGAATAATTTTAAAAATTGCATTTAATTTACAGCGAAAAGTATTTAATTATTCAGTATTTTATTACGGTACTTTTTAGACAGCTGGGATTGGTATAAAGCATTTTAACGCTCTACCCCTGGTCACACTGGCCCCAAATCAATAAAAAAAATAAAAAATATTCTTGGAAGGAAATCACTTTTAAGGACACAATGCCAAAGAAAATGGGAATGAACTCAAAGGCGGTGGAGGCCCGCGAACGCAAGGAGGCCACCAAGAAGGCCACGCAGGAAAAGAAGACCAAGGAGGCGGAGGATCGCCTGTGGCACGATGACGACAAGAATCTGGCCAAGAAACAGCAGCGCAAGGAGGAGGAGGATCGCAAGCGGGCGGAGGCGGCCAAGCGGAAGGCGGAGGCCAAGGCGCTCCTCGACCAGGAGATGTCCGCCATCAACACGCAGCGCAAGCAGCCGCTGGCCAAGATCAATCGCCAGCAGATTCTGGAGGAGATCGAGAAGAAGCAGCGCGTGATTGAGGCCATCAACGAGGCCAACAAGCCGGCGGCCACGCGAGTGGTGGTGCAAAACCATGTTGTCGAGGAGAACCTCAACCGATCCATGGCCGACACGGATGTGGCCTCCAACATTGACGAGGCTATTGTGGTGCTCAGGTTAGAGCTCCTGGAATTTCACCATAGCAATGATAATTTACATGCTATATTATTTTTGTTTTAGTGTCAACGACAGCGAGGACGACAAGCATCCCGAGAAGCGAATGCGCGCCGCCTACAAGACCTTCGAAGCCAACAATCTGCCCCGCATCAAGGCCGAGAACCCCTCGCTCCGCATGTCCCAGTGGAAGCAACTACTGATGAAGGAGTGGAACAAGTCCCCGGACAACCCCTTCAACCAGGCGCGCTGAGTGCTAAAAAGGACGAATTTCACCGACCCCTCGACGAGTGTGCGTACTCTAGTGACTGTTTGCTGCCTAGCAGCAAAGACTAATCAAATGGTTCTGAATCACCTTTGAACTATACGCAGAATTTAGTTTATACAAAACATTGTGGAAAAAATAAATGTATTTATTTATTTAAGCCCAGTGAGTAGAATTTGTGTTAAATGGGCAAGGGCCTATATATTTAGACTTTAAAATGTAGGTATTTATTCAGATAATAACCTAAGCTAACGATCCACATCAGTATCGAGAATATTACAAAAAAGTTAACATTTTTCACATTTTGCATTTTTTTATACCATCACAATTTAAAAAAAAAATCGTCAAAAATTAAGTTTTCTAGGTTTGAATGCTGATCGATAGTACATTTAATTAAGAACTTAACGCGGTACAACATTCCAAATTTTGCCAATTTGTTTTGTTTAAAAACTGACGAACTGATAAAATTTAAGACAATTTTTTTTTATTTTCTTGTATTATTTAGATAAAAGAATTAGTGCTCTGACCAGCTAATTATTCTTAGCATCCACATGTCTATTTAAAATTTTTTTTTTCCTATCCAAACTCTCTTTTCTAATGAGCACTTAAGAAATCATTACAGAATCGTTATGCAATTGATCAATAAAATTAAATCAAAATCGGGCGAATAAACATAACATTGGAGTACTGAGATCCGAAAGTGATAACCAGCCGCTTTCCTCCGCTTATTTAATGCCCAATTTTTATTCGCCAGTGCTTCAAAACTTTGTGGCCCTGATCCGATTCCGGTTGCGTTTGTGAATGAAGTAATTATATGTATTGCTTTGATTGCTGTTGTCGTTCCAGCGTTTTGTCCATCACTTTTTTCAGCGGTGCAAAATACAGAGAATAATAAGTGCTTCCGCTTTCACTGTTTGCTGCTTGGAAGTTCGGTGGCGTTTTCTGAGCCAGAGCCACCAAAATATTTCGGCTGTCTTCTGTACAAATGCACGTAACATCGGGCAGTTAAGTACGAGCTTAAAGTCATTAGGCACCTCTTTTTGCGCATTAAATGCGATTTTATATAAGATATTAGGGCTTAATAGAGTGATTTTCCAAATAAAAAGTTTCTAGCTTAATAGCTGCGCTCGGTCAGCTTTCGTTGGGAAAACGAATTGTTGTCTGGGGCCAAGCTATTCAAGTGTAAGTAGGTATTTAAGTTCTGGGCAGAAACTTTCTTGATCAATTAAGTCATTAAACTTTCGTTGGGGGTTCACTCTAATCCAACTTTCTTATCAGCAGAACCGAAACAGTTATCGCTTTTATAGCAATCACTCGGAAGCGGCTCGTAAATGCCCGAATTGCAGCAGACAATTAAAATGTTCCACTGCAGTAGATTTGATTTTTGAATTTCCACCACCAGTTAAAAGTTAACAGCGGCTTCTGTTAACCGATTTGAACCGCTTGCAGACATCTGTCTTACCTGTTGGCAGTGCTTTCTTTTTAATAAAAATTTCTTTTGTCGCCGCACAACTTCATTCAGTGCCTGGCCGTCGAAGGCAGCGGTCGCGTCGTAGTCTTCAGATTTTCCTTCATCGTGAGAGAAATGCAAATACCAGAAATTCAATATTGAACGCGAGCCGAGAGAAAAGAAAAGTGTGAGACGTGTTTGGAAAATCGAATCGAATTTTGTACGGCACCGTCAACGGAAATCGCAACAACGGTAATTGTTGTGTGTGCTCGGTCTCTGTGCTTTTGTGTGAACTCTATTGGTTTTTTGAGCAGCCAGCTAATTGTGGAATACTTTGGTTTGGGCCCCCGCAGCCAAGGATATCAGCCGGATTCAGCCAGTTTGCGGGTAAGATTTGTGGGTTAGGCGGTTAGGAATGTTTGTTGGCCATTACGGTTGCAGCTAATTAGCATGCTGCACTCGACACAAAAAGCACAAGAAGCTAACTGCAGCGGGCTCCTGCTGGTCACCAGCTGGAAATCAGGGCAGGCCCAGCAACCCACACGAGTTCGTGCCTTAAGTCTTTTGTTTTGCCTCTCTTTTTTGTGTGCTTTTTGTCGCCGGCCCTTGCACATTTAGAAAAAAAGTGGCTCACTTTTTGTGTCAGAATAATTATGTACGCAACTTCTGCCGAGTGTTGGATTTTTTGCTCAAGTTTAGATCTCGCGATGGCTTACTTTCCTCCCCATCAAATTCGGTTGACCTACAAATCGTGGTCTACATGCTAATTGACGTTAACTTGTTTCCGACAATCCGCATTCCGCTGGCCAAAAAATTGTCAGGTTCATTGACCATCGCCTGGCGTTATGTAAAGTGCACAATAATTGAATTCTGGTAATGAATTCACACTTTGCATGAGAGCCGATGGGTTGCGTGTTGGCTGGCTGGCGGCTGTTATGCATTGGGCGCGAATTATTCAATTCGCAGACGAGGAGATAACGAGATCAATTGGCTGGCAACCGTTAGCTAATTTATGACTTTCCCAAAAGGTCGAAGCAGCGTTCCCAATCGGCCGCTAAGGAGTCCGCCTGCTGATTTATAGCCATCGCCAGCGACCCAAATTGGCTGGCAATATGCTCAGCTATGTCGGGCTATGCCAAGCAGAATCATAGAATCAGAGGCAGCAGCAGAAACAGAAACAGAACTTGGAGCCAACCCATTTACTGGATGGCACGCGCGGGCGCAGCGCAGCTATTGCAATTGCATTAACCATCCAGTGAGCCAAAAAGCCAAGTGACCATAAAAGAAATGCCAGAGGCAGCAGGCCTAAACCGAATTACCTACGAGTACAAGATCTGTCCATTTATGGGCGCCTCTTCTGCCGAGGAAGTCAGTCACACTCCGCCACCAAAAGCGAGCTGACAGCCTTGAAAGATTTATTGGCTGCCCAGATCGGCGACGTGCGGCGATTCTGCAAATGGTACATATCCATCGGCGAACATAGTCAATCATCCATCGCTTATCTGCCTTATCGCCGCTCTCTGAAATTGTCTTTCGACTCGGCAGCACCTTGAGCACTTTCCTTTTTATTTGAGACCCCAGCTCGTGCTTAGTTTTTGCTACACAGAGGGAAATATGATAGAAATAAAATATATTTTATTTTTTAAAAAATAAAAATAAATTATTTAGCATTTGAAAATTTTTAATAATATATTATGATAATTTTCTCTATGTACCCAGAGTTTTGCCTGTCACTCAACAGATAGCTTTTCTGTACGCTTTTTCTTCAAATCAGCACTTGAGCAGTTTCCATTTGATGGCTCGGACAGTACTTTAATAATAGCAATTCCATTGTAAAATTCATGTTCATCTGCGCATGTGTGCAGCGCATAATTTCCTCGCATTGTGCCATAAGTTGTTGTAAATTTCGACTCGCCGTCGTCGACTTCATTAAAAATTAATAAAATAGCAACAAATTCAAGTTTCGGAGAGCGTGTGTGTGTGGCATTTGAAGTGCTCGGCTTGAACTTCACACTCTGTGGCGGCAAGCTGAAATTTCACCATTTCTCTTTGAAGAACCTGCGAATGCGTATTATTATAATTAAGATTTCAGGCACGTTGCCTTGACTTTCATTGCCATTTCTTAGACGCGGTCAGCGGCTATTTCGGTTTATTGATTTTTAAGTCATTCGGTTTTTATTTTCTGACTGAAGGAATTCCGCCTGTTTTGGCCAATGGGGTTATTCATTTCTATATGCTAATCGGCACTTAGCATGTGGGCGTCACTTTCTATCTTCGCCGAACGAGAGAGCGGAAATCCGATCGCGGATTTCCTTCGCCCATGATTGCTTTCGGTTCACGGGAATTTGCTCGAAATTTCGTGTGATTGCAACACTCGAATGATTCACGAGACTTCAGCCGAGGTGTGTGCACTTGCCAGCATTTGTTAACGTTAACTTTAACGTTAACATCAGGCAGCAGGCAACAGGCCGCAGAGATCATAGCCGGGATTTATGACTGTGAGTGGTGTGGCGGCCAAGAGCGATTACGCACCTTAAAAAGTGAAATTTCTCGTGCTTTGTTGTTTGGTTGCGCCTTTTCGTTTTTTTCGCCAGAAAGAAATGCAAATTAATTCGAATGACTAAGACGGCGGCGATTTTGGGAATGCCAAAACCTAAGGCCATCTAAATGGAAACTGCCTAGGGTCGGGAAAATGACTCTCGCTTTACACGACGAAAAATTATGATTAATTAGCCTTGGATTTTACAGTGCTATCCTAATAAAATATTGAAAATAAATCTTCATAATATAAAAATCTTTAAAACATAGCAGTAATTCAATTATCCCTAAAAGATTTAAAACATTACTAGAACTTATTTAAGAAACGCTATAAATATATTTTTACTTTATTATTATCCTAATAAAATGTTGATTATAAATCTTCATAATATACAAATTTTTAAAAAATAGCAGTAAGTTTATTATTTTAGTAAATTCTCTGCAAATATTACTAGAACCTATTTTAAATACTCTATAAATATATTTATACATTTATCAGAAAGTGTCAATGTAAGATATTAAAATTCGCAATACATCCTAGAGTTTTTTAAATGTGCATTTGAGTATAACCGGGATCATAAGCATAGGGTTTCCAAGCCCACGACCAGGCTTCGTCCACATTCCAGTCGCACTCGCCATCGACTGTTTGTCCAATGATCGTTAACGGGGTCAGCTGAGCTACGTACACGGCTTTCAGCCGCTTCTCTCGCAGTCGTTGTTGGTTTATTTAGTGGTACCTCCATTGGGTATTGGGTATCTGTATCTGTTACTGGTATCTGCTGGCTGGCTGATTCACCAAAAAAATAAGAAAAAAAGGAAAATAAAACAAAACGTGAGGCAGACCGGCGGGCACAGGAAGACTGGCTTCCTCGGTATTTGGGATTGGGATTACAAGTTGCCTCATACTGCGGAGCGGATCGGTTCAGAGCAGAAAGAGGAGTGCCAGGGGGGCAATCAAAAATTTCACTGATTTTAATTATTTTTATTTTGCGTCCTACCGTTCTGGTTTGGCTACTTTGCCGCGTGTGTGCGTTTCTTTTGCCTCGGCTCTTTACATTGCGGTTAAAGTTGAGGCATAAATTCGGTAAGCCATAAATAATTCTCTCTGGCGCCGCAGCAGCAGCAAAAGCAGCCAAAGCGAACAGCACTCAGAAGCTGAGCGAGAAATTTTTGGCTGCCAAAAGTGAAAGTTGCAGCTGCTGCTGGCCGTGCCATTGAAAAGAAATAAGAAATGTAGGAAAGCGCCGAGAGACCCCTACCCCTCTCTAGACCCCTTCACCCCACCTATCTGGTTTAAAAATCAGCCCGCTAGAGACAGTTTAAAGTTGAGTCTGAGGGTCTGGGCTCCACTAGATTGGCCCGGGTGTCTAATGACTCCGCTGGCTGCTCTTTGTCAACATTCGGCCGCAGGGGGGAATTAAAACTAAGCATTTTCGCTATTATGTGTTTCGTTTTGTCGTCGTAATTATGTTTACCACGCTTTTGATTGCCACCATTTCGGTGCCATTAAAAATTACACCTAATTGCGGTGGTTCGTAATAGACGTGCGACTTTTTCGGGTGCTCCATATCAAAACACTAAGACTTCTTCTTCGCGGGGGTCGTCGGAAGGCGAAAGTTATGGTGTTTATGCACTTTATGCGAACATGATTGTGTGGGAACCCCGGGCGGAATGAGTTAATCAGTGAGACCAAGGCGAATTGTGTAATGTGAAAGCAGGGAAGTGATTACGATTACGATTCCACTAATCCCCAGACGACTTACTTCCTTCCTTCCTCTCAGCAGGAATTGGGTCAGCAATTGGGCGGAGTTCATTGAACCGAACCTCGAACGTCTTGGAATGCTATGGTTTACGACCATAACTCGTTTCAATATTTAAATCTGAAAATTTAATTAAATTAGCACTTTCTACGCGACCAGAAAGCCGTGCCTCACATATTGAATAATAATTACAAGCAATTAGCACAGTGACCCAGATGCGTAAATTATGAAAATGAAAATGCATCCATCGCCATGGCCGCCCAGAAATTCCTTTGGCCGACGGCGTACTCATAATGGAAAGTGGCAATCAAGTGCGGCTCAAATGTGCAATGAAAGCACGTTCGCATATTCAAAGACTCAAAAGACTTGTTGACAAGAAGTTTGTGTCTTGAGTCTTTCGTTTTCGAGCGCGTGCTCTTTCAACAATCCAGCGATGACGGGTTTTTATTTGGCATTCGGTGTTCGGTGTTCTACAGGAGGATGCTATGTTTATGTAGCTTCTGCTTTGGCTTCTGCTTCTCATCGGGTTGTTCTTTTTTATTAGCATACTGATAAAAGCGAACTTGGTTAGTGTGTGTGTGTTCGCGTTGTGGACATTAAAAAATGATGGAAAAAGCAAACAAGTTCCTAAATTGTGACCCAATTACCCAGTTAGCCAGTCTGTTGATACAACTGCCACTTGGCCTTATGAATTGCGGCCCATCGACGAGGCGTGCAAAATTGACGAGAAATGCATTTGCATAACACTTTGTCTCAGTCCGAAGAACCGAAGAACTGAAGAACTCCAGAAAGCACAATCTCTACCAAATTCATTGACAATCGAAATGAAAGTTGCAAAGTAGCTAAGCGGGCTGCAGTTAAATGGCATCGCAGATCACTCGCAATTGTTCCGTGTGGCAAAAGCACAAACACATGGCACATGCAATCGAGAGGAAATCTAGACCATAATAATAACCACGGCAATTTGTAGACTGGCAATTGCACTTTCATCTGGGATTCTTGCTAGCCGCGGCACTTTGAATAAATTTCTAAATGCCTTGATTGACAGTCCGCTGTGATTGAGCTGGGCGCATAATGCGACTTTGACATTGATGTGACTGTGACTGCTCCGCGCCGCCGGTGAGTCAGTCATAATTAGCGCTGGGTATTTCGGCTGGGTGACATTATCGATGTATTTTGATTGAATGAAAGTTGAACTGTGTTTTTGAAAGTGAATTTCTTGTCACGGCAGAAGAGGCCGCGAATCGAATCGAAAGCACTGGCGGCCCAGTCGATTTCGGCTTTTTCAGCTTCTTCAGCTTCAGCTCTTTTGCCTTTCTGTTGCAGCAGAATATCGATGAGCGTTAGACAATAGGCCAAGACCATTGGCTGGGATAGAGGCAGGGGCTGGCATTTGGCTCGTTTGACATAACCACCACAATGAGCGACCAGAGCCACAACAAGCCACAACTCCCAGACGGGTTTTCCTCCTCGCCACTCGCTGCAAAAACTGGCTGCTCACATTTGGTAAAATTTCACTTTTTCCTTTTATTTGCTCGCTGGCCGCCGCGACTATTGCAGCAGCAGCAGAAGCAGCTTTTTATATGAAAATCAAAGCAATCCCATCCAGTCACTTGCCAGTCGGGAGTCAGTGCCAAATTTGGAGTGCACCAGTTGGGTTGTGTTGTGTTGTTAATTGTAAGCGACACTGCCAGCCGTTTTGATCTGCAATCATAACTCGAAGGCTACCCCATCCAACATCGAATTGCGAGTAGTACTGCACTCATTGTTTTGGCCAAAACACTTCTCGCAAAACAAAGAAGCAGACACGGTCATGTCTCAATTAAGCCAACAGCCAGCAGCCAACCTACGGTGCTTGGTCTGCTGACAAATTGCCGAGAGGCCGCGACTCGAATCCCGACAGCAACACCAGCAATCTCAGCTTCAGCCACAGCCACCAACTGGCTGCAATTTTCGCACCATAAACGTGGAAGCGGTCCGTTGTCAAAGCTTTTGAAGTGACAGCGGCCTTGTGGAGGCTTTGAAATCAAGAGTGGTTTCGGCTTTGGGCGGAAGGTCTTCGATTCAAATTAAAGATTTAAAGATTTCTTTGCTCTCTCTCTCTTTGCAGCCAATCAAAATGGCAGGCAGTCGCCACTTAGGGTTGCTGCTGGCACTGGTGTTGCTGCTCGACGCAACAGCAGCAGCAGCAACATCGAGCGCAGAGTCCACCACGGAGACCCCTTCGGCCCTGCTGCCCCTGGAGGCCAGGAGTGCCGATATCTCCGGTGAGGAGGATGTCATCTCCACCAGCTATGTGCTGCCCAATCAGATTTTCAACGAGGGAAAACCCTACTATGCCCGCCAGGATCCCGTGTCGGGTCAGCTGGACTTCAGCGCTAAAAAGCCGGCGGGCATTCAGCCGGAGGCCAACGAGGTGGTGGATCCCAACGAGAAGATCGTGCTCAGTGGAGGCAGTTCGCCGAATATACACGACTTTCTGAACCTACCTGTGAAGTACTCCTCGTCGAAGTTTGTCTATCCGCTGGTCTCCAGTTCGTATGCCAATCTGAAGTACCAGGGAAGCAACAAGAACTACATCACCAACAAGAAGCCCACTTCGGTGGTGGCACCAGTCACTCCACCACCGCCAAACTATCACAGTTCGAACTTCTTCACGGTGCCAACTACCAAGCTCACTGCTGTGACACCCACGGCAGGTGCCTACTACCCCAGTAGTCCTAGTAGCACCACTAGCACCTCCACATCCACCACTACAACCACTACGACCACGACTACTCGGGGAACTCCTCCAACTTCCAGGCGACCAGTTAGCACCACTACTACAACCACCACGCAGGCAACGAGTCCGGTGGCCAAGTACACCACCACCTCTCGACGACCCATTCCTGTGCAGGTGACCTCCACTACGGCTCAACCACCACGCACCAGCACCACCCGCAAGAAGTTTGTGCCCACCAAGAAGTACAGTCCCACGGTGCCGAGCACCAGTGGAAGGCCAGTGGAGGTTAACCACGAGGATCGGCGACCACCGGTGAAGTCCAGACCCACGCCCAGCAGCCAAGACGAGACCCTCACCACCCACCATGCCACGCCACAGGCGGCCATCTTCCCCACAGAGCCAGCCACAACCACCAAGATGTACACCACATCGAGCACCAGTCCACCTGTGGTCTTCACCGAAGGACCCACGCCCCCACCTGCCTTCAGTCCCATTCCGGGAACTGGTATTCCCAACCTGGATCCAGCCGACGTTTACCACACGCTGGGGCAGAAGAACACACAGGCCGAGGAGCAGCAGCAACAGCAGTTGGAGAAGCAGCAGCAGCAGCAGTATCAGGAACAGCAGCAACAGCTATATCAACAGCAGCAATATCAGCTGCAACTGGAGAAGCAGCAACTGGAAAAGCAGAAGCATCCATACCAGCAGCAACTGGAAAAGCACCAGCAGCAGCAACAACAACTACATCAGCAGCAGCAGCAGCAGCAACAACAGCAGCAGCAACAACAGCAGCAGCAGCAGCAACATCAGCCTCAACCGCCAACTCAGCAACAGCAACCCATTCCACCGAAATCGCCCATGACCCTCAGCGATATTTTCAACAGCCTGGCTGAAGAAGAATCCAATGTGGCGCAGAACTACCAGCAAAATCAAGGCTTCGATGCCCAGGGCAATCTCATTCAGCCCATCGCCCCATCCAAGCCATCGCCCTTCGCCATGCAGCAGCCAGGAGCACAGCAGCAACCAGGAGCTCAGCAGCGACCCAGCCATCCCAACGAGCAGAAGGTGATCTCCGGCAGCCAGGAGAACTACAGCAACGAGTACGTCTCCTACCAGGTGCAGCAGCCGAACATGATGCAATACCGCCCAGTGCCTGGCCAGATCAACAATGTGGTCATCTCGCCGGGTCAGCAGTCCGCCTCCTTTGTCCTGGGCAGCCAGGTGCAACAGGTCAGCGTGGGTCACCCGAGCATGGAGAAGGAACCTCTGTTCGCCAAGGACACGCCGGGAGTGCAGTATGGTCAGGTGATCAGTGAAGATATTGGCAATATCAAGAGACCCAATATTAAGGAACCATTGCCAGCGCCTCCGAACTACCAACAGATGCCTAGTATTCAGCAGAACTCCAACTTCCATCAGAACGGAAATGTGGCCACATCTGGAGCTCCCACCTACCAAGAGCCACCTCCAGAGGCACCTAGTCCCTATCAACAGCTGCCCCTGATTGGATCCAACAAGCGACCATCAAAGAAACCCGTGGCCAAACCAGAACAGCCTTACCCACAACCACCACAGACATCGACGCCTCCCCAAACGCAGCCCACTCCGTCGACTGTGATGCAGGGAGACGACACCAAGGAGCTTCTGGTCTCCACCAACATCAGGTTCCCTGCTCAGGGCGAAGAGCCGCTGGAACTGTCCTCCTCGCCTGTGATGCAAGGTCCTCCGGCTGGACCCCACATCAATGGACATGCTCAACCGCTGAGCCTGCAGCAGATTCAGAACGCCAATCCCGTTGTTTTCCCCAAGGCCCAGGATGAAGTGGCCCCTGGCAGCGGTAATGTGCAGATCCAGCAGCATGAAGTGCTCAACCTGAGTCAGCAGAAACCACCATTGGTGAGTAACTTATCTTATCTATAACAGTTCGATATAACCTATCTCTATCCACAGAAATTCCCTGCCCAGCAGCCAGCACTTGGCGAGCATCCCTCGCTGGACATGGAGCCACCTCCGCGGTATCCCACTACCATGGGACCCGTGCCTCAGGCTCCTCCCACTCCTGGTAAACGACCTCCTGCAAGCTTCTACAACGAGTTCAACCGCAAGCCGCAGAATGGCCCACGTCCCAGTAATCTGCCGAATATTCTGCCTCAGTTCCGTCCGAATGCCAAGATCTCCAGCGGACATCCTCCTGCTCTGAACAAGGAACCCGGCAACATCCGTCTGCCCCAGCAGGGCGGTCCTGGTCCTGGTCCCAAGCGTCCCTACAATCCCTCTGTGCCACCCCAGTTTGCCCATCGTCGCCAGCCCTTGCATCATCAACAGCAGCAACAGCAGATGTTGCAGAAGCGCTATCCCATGAATCGCATCTCGGAGTATCCCGTGGGTCCCGGTCCCAGTCCAGGAGGAGATGTCAACAGGAGGGTCTACAGACTTCCCCCGTATGGCGGTCAGAATGTGCCTTACCTGCCCGATCACATGTATCCCCGGCGTCCTCATGGTCCTGGTCCATTGAGATCCGTTGACGGCTACCCGGCAGAGCGACATGCTCCCTCGGCGGAACCCTACAAGACCATCGATGCCGAGGCAGCTGCCGATTTCGAGGAGGAGGATCTGGTGATCAACGATCCGCCACAGCCAGTGACACCCGGCAAGGATCGCACTGGAGTGGAGGACACGAAGCTGGAGCCCGTGGTCACCCTGCAAATGCTGCAGTCCCAGAAGAAGGCCGTCAGCCTGCCCGGTGATGATACGGGAGCGGGAGAGATCCAGGTGACGGCCGACAACGATCCCCAGGAGGCGGAGGCATCTAAGCTCAGCCAGCAGAAGTTGGATCCCAGCGGAATGTACGTGGTCTTTCCCATGAAGGGCGCCGAAAAGGGTCAGGCGGAGGGAGAAGCTCCCTCGGCACCAGCCGAATATCAGAACACTCCGTTCTCCGTCATCCGCGATCAGCCACAGGAACCGATTCTGAAGAACAAGAAGCCGCAGTCGCTGCAGCAGCAAAACAAAGCGCAGACGGGACCAAAGGAGAAGTTTCCCTACCCCATCGAGAAGCCAGATCCATCCTATTCGGAGCTCCATCCCGAAGCACAGTCTGCTGTTCCGGGAGTTCTCGTGGCCCCGAGGATCATCACCGGAGCTCTGGGCACCGGCACCGAGACACCCATCGCCATTGCCTACACGCCCACTGAACCCAATCCTTTCCGTCATGAACAGGGACAGAAGTTCTCTAACATCAACCTGGCCACGTCGGTGATCAATGAGATCCGCCAGGACACCCAAACGGAGGAGGGTCTGAGCAGTGACTTTGATCTGCGTGGTCAGAACTTCGAAAAGGACTTCATGGCTCCATTTTATCCAAGTGTGAGCCTAGGTGGTGGTGCACCCAGTGGAGCGGCAGCTGTAAATCCCGCTGCCCCTAGCAACTGGAACATTGTGCCCTCTACCACGGATCAGGCGATCTATGAGAAGAACAACATCAACCGGGCCGATGTGGATGCCACTGAGGAAAAGAAAGCGGAGGAGGAGCAGCCTACGGCCAGCCCGCTGACAGCGGAGAAGCCCTCCGAGATGGACAGCTTCCAGCCACAGCTCCAAGGTGGCTTCAAGCCCATTTATCCGCCGGGCTACAAGCATGTGGAGCAGGTGGAACAGGAGGAGGTCGCAGGTGCCAAGAATGCTGCCCAGGATCAGCCAATCGCATTGCCTCTGGTGGCCACCACAGCGAAGCCTTCGACACCAGCCTCGCCAATCAGCAGTAGCACCAGCAGTAGCAGTTCCACCTCAACATCCTCCTCCACCTCCACGACCTCGACGACCCACCAGCCTGGGATAACCAAGTCGGATGCCACACTGGCCACCACCACCAAGGCGCCGGTGGTCAGTGCGAAGCCCACGCAGCGCAAGAAGACCAGCTTCGAGACAAGTCTGGCGGCCCTGCTATTCGGGGACGAGGATGAGGAGGACGGAGCTCGCAAGTCCGCGGAGCTGCCAAAGGCCCAGTCTGGTCCCAGGAATGTGCCACGCATGGGTCCCCGAAGTCTGACGCTGAGCTAAACGGGAGCCTCGAGGTGCCCCCGCCCCAACAACACTAGTGTAGTCCAATTTTAGTTCGTATTATTTATTCAAAGTTTATGAGACAGCCGGGATAAGCCCCGCTTAGAGGTAGACCATGTGGTAATCTAGTTCTGTTCTACAGCTTATAGTTAGTAAGCTCACCATCCAGATATATAGACCATCGCCTCCAACGAACACAACACCCCACGATCCCAGCGACTTTTGCGAGTCTGATTTGAAATGCGATTTCTATGAACTTTCTCATTGGACTCCCGAATCGTCGGAAATGAGATAAAAGCTTTTTGTATTCAATTTAACAAAACCCCTAAAATAGTACTCACAATTTACGCGGATTATTGTACCATAGAAAACCATGCAAAATAAACATAACTCTTATATTATTAACCATTTTCTTGTTTGAAATAAGGTCTATTTAGGGTTTTCAGGTTTAAATTAGAAGACAAACTCAAGACAACAGAGATGTTAACAAAAACCCCTTTTTTTTCTCTAGTAAAATGGCTTACAAAATATTTGATTTTTGACATGGAGAGAAGATCTTACACTAATTTTACACCTCTACATTGTCATAAAGCCTTGCATACTTTTGGTATTTGGCCCAAAAGAAGATCTTTCCACCCTGGTAAGTGGAATTCAAGAAAAAACGGATGTTTTACTATATCAGTATCTTTATTATACGAGTACAATAATTCAGTTTACAGTTTTACAAAATTATTTGTTTGCCTGACATGATTTCGTTCTTCGAATTAAGATTTACTTCGTTTTAACTTCTGTTAAAACCCGAAATGAATTTCGTTTTTGTGTCTGGGATGGACTGCGATTTCAATGTTGATAATAATATAGATAATACTTATTCATGGTCGACCCAAGTCGGTAAGTGCATTAAAATATTTGATTGGCAACCGGAAATGAATTTTAAATTCATGATTCTCTAATGTTTGGCTTTACTTAGAACCCATTAACAAGACGATGCAATGAGGTTGATGTGTTATGCTCAAATGGACGACTTTCATTTCTTAACAATCTTTTCTATACCGCTGAATCGTATGTACACATATCGTACTTTATTTACAGCTGCCACGGAAGTCTCAATTATCTTAATACATTTTTCTGTTGAACAGTGTCTAAGTTGGTAAAGTAAGATGCTTTAGTTGGAGCCATTACTTCCTAATGAATTCTTGATAAAATAATCAATTTACGGATATATTTTCCTATCATCAGTATAATGGAATCTACTAGCCAATTGAAAAACGATGGCTCAGTCTTCGCCTTGCTTTTGCAATATGTGTTATAATTGAAGTATAATTGCAGCCGAATTACATTAATCGTATATTTAAGTTCGATTATAAGGGACACACACAAAAAATAAGTAAAACAATAAATCATGTCCCATAATACACTCTTTATAAAATCTGAAATTTCTCAGCCAATCTTTGATATTGATCTGCTGGGTGTAATGTATACATATGTATTTATTTGTAATGCAGATACCCACATATTTGTAACGTAAGAAACTAAAACTAAAGTCCTAAGCCGGGATTAAGCCGATCGGGAGTTCCCAATGATAAATGGTCTTGCTTCTCGAATTGATCCGGGATCATCTGTACAATTTTCGAGGGGAAGGGGGTTTCAAGTCTTAAAACCTCAAGTTGATAAGTCTACATCGATATTTAACTTTGACCTTACGTGGTAGTTAATCATTACAGGTAAAATGTATGTATTGCAATATGCCATTTAATGTGTATATGTATGTATATTTGTATTGTATTAAAACATAATCTTTTTATACAGAGTTTAGACAAAATCAAATAAATAGCGCGATAAATGTAATAATATTTGTAAATGTATCTATAAAGAACAGCTATGCCATTTCGTAGGAGTTTACCAGCGACAGGTTTAATTATTAAGAATAAATACTTTCCATGATTGGTTTCTGAATACTCGCTAATTTAGCATAATATATGTAGCGATGTAAATTTGAAGGACTAGGAACCAGTACGACATATGAATATGTTTTTATAAATGGTAATTAGATACAATTTTCAAACTAATACAAACAAAATGGATTCTCTTATTGTTAAGGGCATGCTTAATTTTTAGTAGAACATTTTGGCTTATTTGCAACTGCGCTCTATACACACGACAATAAGGAAATAAACTATGAACTTAAAAATTAAACTTTTAGGCATCGAAAACTAACCAACTTTTGTGGGCAAACTAAGTTGCGATTATTTTTTGTATTCTTATCAAGTGGTACTGCCAGGTATAAAGGAATAGGATATGGGGATAAAAATCTCACAGAATCTAACCAAGTCTTAGGGTGACTGAACAAATAAGTTAAATATGAATCAGGTCTGGGTGTCCGGCTATCCGCCCTGCTGTTGCTTCTTTTTGTCGAATATAGGAAGCTTAGACTTCACTGCACCCTCGCACACCATCATCCTTTGCTGCGCCGGCTTCTTGTCCAGATCGAAGCACAGGGCATCTGCATTCAGGTGCCGCTTGAAATCCGAGTAGCGGCGCGCCTCGTACGAGAGGTAGTTGGACCCCAGTGCCGAAGCAGCCACAGCAGCGGCCACAGTTCCGTTTCCATTGCGATGATGCATCGACGGCGGCGAGGAGTCCTGTCGCTTCCGCTCAAAGTACTCCACTATCTTGGCAATCTGTGCAGATCTCGTACTGGGCAGTGCCGTAAAGGAGCGGTCGTCCCAGAGCAGGGAATCGGATCCGGCCAAGCTGCTAATGTCATCGGAGCTATCGGTGTAGATGGACGAGGTGCGGTTCTTGCAGTACAACAGTTGATTCGTTGCGAACGGACTGCGCTGGAGTAGAGTGTGAATCTCAGAGTCCAGAGCCAATCGATTGATCAGGCCCGCCGTGGCCGCCATCTGCGAGTCGCCGCCATTGCCGCTGATTAACGCATGGTGACAGGTGTACCGTCGCTGGTGTGTGGGCCGCGCAGCCACTATGTCGGCATCCAGGTCATCCATCGAGTCCAGCGCTGTGGATGATGAAGTATTTCCCCCGATCACGGCGGGATCGTTGTCGATCAGCAGCACCGACGACGAGGTCGAGGATGTGTCGTTGAGCAAGTGGTTCTGCTGTTGCTGTTGGGCCGCAGCAGCGGCAGCAGTTACGGCGGCATTCGATGTCGAGGTGGCATAGTAGCAGCAGCGACACAGACTCGCAAGTTTATCGCTGAAAGATAAGATGAGATAATCAGTATGCGGTAATCAAGGACTCAAATGCAGGCCCTACTTAAGGTAACGAAAACATTGGACAAACACTTTTATAGCTTTTCAATGCTTTATGGGTTTCTAATGAACATCGACTAATAATATGATTTTACACACATACCATGTCAAAGTTTAGATATTTAGGAATTATGTAAGTGACTTTTATGATAGCGTGATTTCAATGCTTTCAGCAAAATAAGTCACTTACGTTGTTGTGTGCGTTTGGGGCTCGATATTTATACCATGGCTGTGTTTAACCTGGGATATGCCGAAATAATTACTATATATTCAAATTCTATCGGTATATTATTATTTAGGAAATTTTAAACATGCATTTTAAAGCTTTTCTTTATAGTTACACAACGATCTCTAGGATTAAACAATTTTAGACACAAAAATCTATTACAGAAGTACGAAATATTCCAAGTTTTATGATCCGATTTACTTACTTGATTTCACTATCTGCGCTGACGCATGCATCGAGCATTAGCTGCGTCTTCAACTTCTCGTAGCAGCAGTTACTACTGTTGCCCCCGCCGCCGCAACCAAACCCCAACGACCCAATCCCGTTGAGCTGTCGGCCAAAACTGTTGTTGGTTATCGCCGCATCCGACTCCTCGTTGAAGCACGAAAAGAAGCCGCTTTCGATGGAGTCCCGCCTCGTTAGGTTCGTCTTCAGGGGCAGCTGTTCACACGAGTTCTTCAGTTCGCTTAGATCGCAGGTATTCTTCAGCTCGTCGAGCTCCAGATCGGTGCAGGATGAAACGGAGGCGGGGGTTTCCACCAGCCTCGCTGAGCAGCCGGACATTTGAGTGGGCGAAGCGAGGGCCGTGGCTGCTGCACCGCAACTCGTTTGGTCTTTGGATTTCTTGGCGCTTTCAGTCAGATCCTCGCAAGAATTGGACGCACCCACCGAAGCAGTCAGCGTAATGGTCGATGCGCTGGCCTTCAGCAGGGCTGAGCTCTCGAATTCGCTGGTGCTGGTACTTTTCAGGCTGGTGCCATTGGGGCCACGAAAAAGCGGATGCGTGTACAGGGAATTCGCGCGGTATTTGCGAGCGGTAGGCACGGTGGCAGGACGCACGGCGCTGTCATCGCTGCTGGACTCCGCATCCGCGCAATTGCCACCGCCGTCGGGATCCTCGCCCTCCGAGGTGCAATCATCGCAGTCATCTTCATCCGCTGGCAATGCTGGCGCTGCTGGTGGCGCAGTGGTACTGGTAACTGGAGGAGCAGCATTGCTGATCCGCTGCGGCAGCTGGAGTTCGATGGCGCTGTACTTGCGCGTCATATGCGGCGACACTGGCAGACTCTTTGGTTCACTGGGCGTCGCTGCCGTCGCTCCCTTTGCAGCAGTGGTTCCTGCTGCTGCTGCCTCATCCGTACTCGCTCCCCCTCCCTGGCCAACCGCCTTGCTCTGCATGGCGGCGAGCTCCTTGAAGAACGGCGCCAACATCTCAAAGCACGAACTGAACAGATCTCCCACTCCTGCTGCATAGGTCTTCGGATTGGCGTCCAGGATCTTCTTAACGCCCCGCAGCTGCGCCAGCGCTTCGAACGGATTTGGCTTGGAGCCGTTGTGATCCTTTTCAGATGTCGGCTTGTACTGCGGATCCTTCAGACACATCGTTTCGCCCACCTTGCGCAGCGTGAGCACCGCGGGAACAGGCTGAGGGAGTGGTGGCGGTTCTGGAATAGCCGTGGCCGGCAGTTGAACCGAGGCCAGCTGCCTGGGAGGCGTTGGTGAGTGAGTGGAGGATCGCTGGCGCTGCATCTGATGACACCGCGCCTTGTCACTGGGCGACGTGTGCATGGGAAAGTGGATGATGTTCTCGCTCAGTGAGCGCCGGTGCAGCAGGATCTCGGCCTCCAATTTCTGGGTGGCTCGTCGCACTCTGGACTTCAGGACGTGATCATCGAACCCGTTGCTTCCGGCGGATCCATTCGGCGTGCCCGGCAGCGCAGCCGAGGCGGACTTTTTACTCGGGAACCGGAAGCCGTCCTCATCCACTTCTTTCAGGTGGCGCGGTGTTAAAATACCAGCTGGAGCCGTACAAATAGTGGCCACCGTGGGTGCTGCTGCTGCCCGAGGAGTAGTCATTACATTCTCCGAATCGCTGCCTCCTGGAGAGCAGCTTATTAGCTCCAGGGAACTAAGTGGACTCGCTCCTGCCGAAGACTCGTGCTCGTACTTCTCCAGCAGCAGAGTCAGCTTTTTGGTGGCATCGTGGAAAGTGGGGCGGCTCTTGGCATCGTACTGTAAATAATTAAGCGGATTAGAGACACATTCCTAAACTGATGAAGGCAGAAGAAGCGGAAACTCACCAGACAGCAGTAAAAGGCCAGGCGTAGAAACACGGGAGGTGTATCCATGGGACACAGTTCGACAAAGGCCAGATAGTCCAGGCCAAACGACGCCGTGCGGGGCATCATATCCGGATCCGCTTCGATGCGGGCTATGATCTCGCACTGGATGATGCCGAAGGAGAAGACATCGCTCGTCTGGTCGTACCACTGTCCCTTCAGACACTCCGGACTGACCCAATACGGTGAGCCGACGGTCTCCAGGCGTGATTTTCTACTGCAAGCAAGCCCATTTATGGATTAGTTTATTTGTTTTTAAATTTTTAAAACAATTATAAAGTATCAGTTAGTTTTCATACGAGCTTTAAGTATAATCAAATGAAGTTTAAACCAGGACACACTTACGATTTGACTGGTATCTTTGCGGCTAGACCAAAGTCACCCACTACGGCTTCGTACTGATCGTTGGCCAGATTGCGAATAAGTACATTCTGGAAAGGGATTCGGATTAGGGCAAGAACTCATCGGGATTCCAGGCAGGCAGCCAGTAGCTACAACTCACCTTGCTCGTCAGATCCCTGTGGAAAATGCCCGCGTCGTGGACATAGGACATGCCGCGCGCTATACCCAGCGCCAGTCTTATCTTCTGCGTGGCGCTGAGCACCACCTCCTTGTTGGCCAGCAGCTGCTCCAGGGAGCCGCCGTTGATGTACTCGGTCAGGGCGTGCAGTTGGCCCTCCTGCACGCAAACGCCCATGAAGCTGAAACGGAACGAGAAGGAGCCCAACAAGTCAGTTAAAGTTTGCCACTGCATTGCAACTATTCGGTGTGGCCCGAATAAGTTTCACTTTCAATCATACAACTTGACGGGCACTGCAACTCCCCTGTGCCCAGATTTCTTATCGCCGGTCGACATGCAATCGGCCACCACCCCCCACAGATTGTTGGCATTGTTTCAGCCTTGATTCGATGCAAAATGAAATTGTAATTCGATGCTCCCCGAAGCGGCAGGAGCACGCAATAAAAAGAGAAAGTTTTCCCTTGACTGGACACACAGAGCTCCTTCTTGGAATGCAATGGAGAGATGGAATGCAGTCTCCTAGGATTTTTCAGAACAAAGGAACCCACTGCCTAAGCACTCATCTCCGCTTCCTGTTCAGACAATGTCAATGACTCCTAAGCCTAAGGAGCTCAACAGCCACTGACTCATTCCCTGGCGGGAGGACAAGTTGAGGTCACCAGGCTCGGGAACCGGAACTGTAAGCTTATTAAGAAAATGGCAACGCATGCGTCTACCTTTTCTGCCAACTCCTTCCTCCAAACAGAGTGTGCAGTCAGGTAAAAAAGGTTAAATGCTGCCAGACGGGGCTGACAACGATGCTCCGAGGTGACAATGAACTTTGTTTATGTACGAAAGCAAGGCAGGTTGCATCATCCTTTGGATACCCTGATGTTATCTAATCCTTTAATATTAATAATATTTCTATTAAAAAGGTCTAGTTAATATTAATGATAGATCACGCTGAGTTATAATAAAGGAAATATACATATACCGGAATATTCCCAACCGATTTGCACATGTGACTCAGGTCCCGTGCAGGTGTTCAATACCACTGTCATTATACCACTTCGATAAGGCTTCTTCGCTTCGATTTCAAATTCGTCTTCTGTCAACTGGTCTAATCGGACGCGCAGGTTTTATCTCCGCACATGCTCGGTTTTTGGCCATTTGCAGGTTAAAGCCGTGGCCCAAATCGTTTGCCAAATGGCTCGGAACTCTGAGGCGTGTGCCAGATAAGCTTTATCGTCCGTCATGCCGCCATGCGAATATTCTTCTATAAGCTATATTTACTGTAGATTGTATAAAAGCGCACCAAGAAGAACTTAAGTGGCGTTTGAAAAGTTTGATTTACGTGTGTGTTTGCCCGATTGGGCCATTAATTTTCACTTATAGCTGGAATTTAATTTTATTAACTTAACCGCAGAGCATCAAATCGTAAATAAATTTCGCAAATGTTGCGGAGGGTGGAAATAATTGTTTCGAGCACGCAACCTGTCACCCCATCTACCCCAAAAACAGACACCTTTCTGTCAGGCTGTCAATAAGGCCTTGTCAGGGTATCCAGGTCTCCAGGGTGCGACTGCGAGCGTGACGTCAGGGCAATGGCAATCAAATGTTACGACCACCCCAGCCACCTCATAACAACTCGGAGGTCGTCTCAACGCATTAACATACGCGTTGTAAAGGGGTTGAACCAGGAAGGACCACCAGTTGCATCGCCTTTTGGCGGCGTTTACTGGCTTGCGTGATATGCGGCATTAGGAATCACAGCAGCCCTATTGAATCATCAAAGCCCTTCGGGGGAAGCTTAATGGAAATCAGTCTGGTCACTGGCTTTCCGGCAATCAATCCTGAACATGGAGTTGGGGTAAGGATAGTACAGTGAAACCTGCACAGCTGCACTTTTGAATTGAAAATATGAAATTGGGAAGAACTGTTTTCCCCTTTAAAAATTCGGATATGGATTGAACCCTATAGTAGAGTAGCAAAACATATTGTAAAAAAATATAGTACATCAAAATATATAAAAAGGGATTAAAATTTCAAAAATCTAGAAAAAAAATGTATTTTTTTATAATCTAGAAAATTTTAAGTTTGGCGAAAAGTTTAAAATAATTCTGGATTCAGAAAAATCACGTTTCCATTACTAGTTATTCGATACGTATAAAACTATGTTTTGTGATCCCTGAAAACTTCACCTACATGGATAGCTGACTTTATTTATGTACACAAAACGTTATTACGCTGCATAAAGATAAAGAATAATGAAAATGTCTTGGGCAAGAGGGCATGACCCTTTGAGATTTTTGATAGATGCCACGCCAGTGTGTGGCAGACACATGTCAGCCCTTCAGACGGCCCAAGGGCTCGGCTCAGCGCGGATCTGAAATGAAGTTATCACAAAGGCGAGACACAGCACAACTCGTCGATCCCAGGTGTTGAAGGTGCGATGGCAGGGGCTCCAAGAGCCGAGGCCCGAGGGTTTTTGTCTGCCGCACATCCTCTCTGCCAAGAGACACACCTCCACCTCTGACTCCTCCTTCCACCTCTTCGACTCGTGACCGTGGGTGCAGGCAGGCACTTCCATTTGCATGACCATCGCCGGGATTTACGGTTCTAATTCAATTTATTTCCCTGCGTGATACACGATTAGCGCCCCGAGTGAGTGCCCCATGCCCTGCCCTTCGCCTCGCCTCGCTTTTCCTGCCCATTAGCGGCTTACATTAAGAGGATTTGCCTGCAGTTAACACCTTTAATGTGCGCTTTAAGCCGTTCTCAAGAGATCTCTGTTGACAGAAAGGATTTAATTTAATTGAAAGGTACAGAGAAATCGAGAGGCTCCAGAAAAGGAAACGCAAAAGCCTGTCGACCATGTTTGATTGCACGACGAGTGCTTTGTTAATTGGTCAATTAATTTATAACGCATTTATCAGGGGTTTTTATTTTCGGCACACAAAACAACAAGATTAATAAATTATCAAAAGCATTTTGCAGTGGGCGCTGCCAGGTTCGTCGACATCAAATTGGCTGGAGATGCAAATCAGTAGCTGAACACAAAAAAGGGGCAGTCAGGAGGAGATTCCGGCAAAGGTGTCTCTAGCCATTCTCCAGCAGGAAATGAATACACGTCGAGTGCCTAGGCTTTTGGCCACTTCAAGAGCTGCAACACACTGAAAGACTGAAGATGCCGAGAGCAGGAAGCGAGAACTACTCAAGCGGCTATAAACCTCTGAAACTGCCGAAGAAGCATTGTTCTGGCAGCGTTTAGATTTTCAATTTGTTTTTTGTTTCTCGCCGGCTTTGCAGTTTTCTTTTTTCCCTTGCCCTGCAGCGCAAAGAGATGTGATTGTGTTAAATTGAAATGTGCTGCTTTGCTGGGTGTTACAATATTTGTTACAGGCATTACACAGTTTTCCCGGGAAAACGGTGTTCGTTCGACAATCGACAGAAGGCAGGCAGCCGGCATTTCTCTTGCAAGTCGCAATGAAAACCATAAATTGACACGTTTGCACGTTTCTCTCGTTCGAGACTGCGCCAATTGGTTTCCCAGACTTTTCGCAGACGGCGACCGACTAAAGCCGCTAACTGCCGCTGGCCAGCTATCTTGGTTATTAGATAGGCTAATAAAATGCAAAAGTCCCGCTTGGAATTCTTTCACCCGTGTGTTGCAACCGCCGCCGCCGAGGCATTTAATGTTGGCAAATCGAATTGGAGCATTAAAGCATTTTGCGCTTAATTGAAAATTATTACCACAACATCAGCGGCAGCAGCAACAGAAATTGCAACTGCAGCAGCAACAGCAACAGCAGCAACGGCACGATCGGCGGGGTTAAAAGGTTGACACAAAGTAAACAAAATTCGCTTTTAGGCAAACAGCAAATAACCCAGGACCATTGGACCAGGCCCAATATCCAAGTACCAAACGAGACGGTGGCAGTGGAGCAGCCGGGGGCGTGGCAATGGGCGTTATAAATGGTCCTAAACGCCAACTGCAATTACCATTCGGCATTTGCAACCAAAGCAACAACAACTAGCAGCAGTATTTCGAAATGAAATGATTGAATTTGGTTTTCAATTAGAAAAATATGCAAAACGTGATGCGAAAATTATGCAGATTGCAGCTGCAGCAGCAACATACAGCAGCAACAGTTGCTGCTGCTGCCTCAACTTCCTCTTCTTGTTTTCACTGCTGACCGATTTTGAAGCCTCGGCCTCCTTGCAGCCCAAAAAGAAAGCTCGTGTATGTGCGGAGAGGGTGTTGCATAAATCTGAATATCTAATGCTCGCTTTTTGTTGTGCAAAATTGATTGAAGTGTATTGAAATTGATTGAAAGTTGATGACATAATTTCGTACGAAACGCAGTCCGCAGTCCAGCAGAGACAAAACAAAATAAAAAGACAATGGCCAAACGCAAATTGGAAGTGAATGTTGGCAGCCGGGCCAAAAGACCAATAGCCAACGGTTGGGTGAGAGATGCTTTATGGGACATCGGGCTGCCTGACACGTTTATTTACCATTTTATGGCTTTATTTTTTCACATGCGGAAACTGGCAATTACAAGTGCGATTTATGCAGACAAATATGAGACGATTTATCGCTGGGAGAGCCGAGCCAGCGATAAGCCAACTAAAAATCCAGCGTGCACAGTAGTGAGTAATTGCTGTCAAGAAACTTGTTACAACACACGCAAATGCAACAAAACGGACTGGAATGCCAGGCAGCAGCTCATTAAATTCCAATCTGTATCTGCATCTGTCTCCGAATAACCAAAAGACCGAAAAAACCCTCTGTATTGTGCGATACATATTACTCATGCTCATCATCAATCCTGTTGCTCTTCTTTTTTATATATTTTTACATGTGTTAGCACTTACAGAGACACAACAATGTATGTAATAATAATGCCGTGGGTTCAATGACTTGCAATTGCGTCGCACTGTGGATGTTATTGTGGCTGAGACATAAAGCATTACCAAAATAAATAAGAATGACAACAATGCAGTATGTACCCCAGTTTTGGGTCAGTGAGTTTAGTTCAGTCTGGCATTGCCAAGAAAAAAATAAAAGGCCATAACCCCCTGCGAATACTGAAGAGCCATCGATAATTGGGAATGGCTGAATGGAATGCTTAATTTCTGGTTTGCTGTAAACACTCCACTGGTCTAAATATAGCCCACGCCTCCATAAATAGACGATCG